TAGAATTGCGACTCATAAATTTGGACAGAGGGTGTATTTTCTTTTCTTAGATTCATTCACATGTCTGCAAGTTGATACTCCAGCGTGATTGGCGTTATCCTTACCGACAGCCGGTTGTCGGTACCTACGGGCTGCGGGCTGCATGCAATGCATGAGAAGCCGAAGTCCTCCCGCAGCCGTGCCAGCTTCGGGCGGACTCCTCCGCTGGCAGCGACATCTACAAAGAGCTGTAGCTCCCGAGAACTCCGTCCGTGGCGCTAGTGGAGCATCCGATCGCAGGCTTGAGAGGGCTCGGAGAGTAGAGGTCGGGAAATTTGGGCAGAATATTTCCGTTTTTCAAATTAAAGCATGACAGCTCTTTCATCATCCCTGCGTGAGACTATCAATTGCAAACGAATGTCTCTTAATTCGTATTTCTTGGTCTATATTGATAAAGGCATGTAGAGAACATTGTGTTTTGCTTGGTAAGACTCAACCCAGCAACGCTTTTACCGTAATGACGGTGCACATCGGCTACGTTCGAAGTTAATTTATAAACAGTCAAACAACAGTCTATAAATAAAGCCATCCAGAGCTCGTCAATTATCTGCTCTTAGAGGTTATCTTACGCAATAAGCGTCAATCATCTCCAATACATGTATCATTTTGTTACATATTTGGTTACAACGACCCTCAAGCTATGTCTCGTTTTTATCATCGACATTATAACGATTCCCCATACATCGGGCGTTTGTATAATAAAAAGATGACGTCCGGACAGAATAAACTAGCAAAAGGTAAATTGCATCAGTGACGCAACGGAACATATTAATACATATAGTAGTGACATGATTGTTGAAACTTGACAACGCCCGACCGCATTTGTCTCACGCCACGCGCGAGGAGATCGCGTGACAGGGCTGAATATCATGCCCCAGCCGCCCTACAGTCCGGACCTGGCTCCTTCAGATTTTCACCTCTTTGGTCCCCTAAAGGATGGCCTCCATGGTGAACACTTCGAGACCGACGCTGAAGTCATGTGCGCCGTCATGAACTGGGTGAAAAAGACGGAAAACACGTTTTTCCGGGCGGAATTCCGGCGTTGGCCGGAACGCTGGGAGAAGTGTGTGCAGGCGGGCGGCGACTGGTTTGAGACATAGGCTGCATTCAGAAATGTCTGGTCTATGATCTGTGACCAGATCATAGACCAGACATTTCTGTCTGGTCTATGATCTAACAAGTTTGAAAGTGTTAAATAAAGAAATAAAGAAGTTATGACCGATTGTTCGTTACTTATTGAACGACCTAATATAATAGTGGATAATGCTCCTAACAGAAATTAATGGATAGGATAGGTATAATTAATTTGAAAATCTTACATTTTTAGCTCACTACCAGAAGAATGTTGTCAACTTTTTTGTTTCGTTGGGCTATGCCATTCGGTCTATCGAAGCCCCTCCACGGCTCTGCAATGAGAGGATAGGGGAGACATTTGACCAAGTCGGTAAACGGCTGATGCGCCGCCGTGGTTTAGCCCGTACAGTTGGAGCGAGGGTGTCTGGTGGCAGTCACCACACAGTCACTCAAACGATCACCCCGTAGAGGTGTGTTTAGGTACTCTGGAGTTAGCCTCACCACATCGGTTGTCTGCTAGGCTGATCTGATGATCAGAAACAACAACGTAGTTATAATGTGAGCAAGGATACGGGCGGTCTGTCATGAAGTCAACCCTCGCCGGCCGAGGGGGGGGGGCGGCGGGTGCCGCCCCCCCCCCATAGGGTTTTTTTCGCGATAGCTCCGAACACGCTGGCGATAGAGAGCTGAAACTTGGCATACCTGACCTTTGATCCAAGCCGCATCTTTTGACACCAACAGCATTTTTGGGTCAGGTCAGGTCACTGACCTATGACGTCATAAGTGAACCTCTGCACGGTCTTCAGATGTCGCAACTTCGCAACGCCCTCACTGCCAGAGGAGATGTCACAGGGAAATGAAACTTGCAGGATCTAGTATCCATTATGAGTCCCACAACTTGTATATCTCGGATTTTTCCTAAAGGTCATATGAGGTCAGGTCATTTTCGTGACCTCACCATTATAAGTCAATGGGGAAAAATTAAAACTGCTATTCTGGCGCCGGGAACGATCTCCAACTATCTCAAGCACACAGAATAGTGATTTTATGCACTCCTTGCAAGGTTAGATGCGTCACTTTTGTAATGTTGACCTTGCGTGACGTCATTTATGACGTCATCAAGGTCATATTAGTTTTTCGTCAATAACTCTTGATTAAATTGAGCTAGCGAGTCGGGAAAGCCACCAATGGACTCAGGAAGACCTGCCGAATCGAATGATATGCGACATGACCTCTTTCGACCAACTTCGTGACCTGGGGGTGCTGACCTGACCTTGACCTGAGGTCAACACCCCAAGTTGACCTGACCCGGACAAAAAGTATATCATTCGACGCGCCTGAGCAAGACGAACACGATGCTGCCAAAATCGGCGCTCTGCGGCCGTTTTTTGCGAAGTTATTCACCAAAAACTGAACCGTACCTTGGGGCACTTGACCTGACCTCAAAGGTCACCGGTTGACCTAGGACCTTAAAATCGGGTACCAATCTCTGCGTCTCGTAACGGCGCACACGCTCGTTTTTCCGCGACGCGCTAGCTCCACCAGGGGCGAAACGGCGAGGGGGGGGTCGTACCCGCCCCCCCCCCCCTCGGCCGGCGCGTATGTAGAAAACCAATAGGTCCGGCGAGGGTTAAGGAGGATAATTACCATTTAATGTGTTGTTTGATCAATGTTTTTTTTCTGTCATTAATGTGAGTGCAATTTGAGTACAAACAAGAGGTTATGCAAATACATTACATTGATCGGTGTTTAATGACTATTGACTTTCTGAGTACGGTTTAGAGAAACAGTCCAACGACAAATTGTAAGCGATTGAACTGTGGCGAGCCAGTTGTGGTGACTGGTGAGCTGCTCATTACCCTTCGCCCGGATGGGGGAGGGCGTTTTTGGCTACACTCTTACCTTTTGCGCGCATAAAGAAAACCACGAAACTTGGTATAGCTTATCTTGCATCAATATTGCATCGTTTGTAAAATATTTGACCCCAGATTTAACCCTCGCCCTGGCAGGGCATTTTTCATAACACGGCCTGGCAGGGGGGGGGGGGGGGGGGTCGATGTGACCCCCGCCTCGCGATTGGCTCCTATGGCACCTAGAAACACCAAATTCGGTAGGTAGGTGGGCCCCCTGGAGTTCTCGCCCCTGTGCAAATTTGGTTGCTCTAGGTCAATATTTAGGGGGGTTTTGGGGGGTATAAATGTAAAAATTTCGATAAAAACAGGTCAAAAGTTTTTTCGCTTATAACTTTTGATCTAATTAAGATAAAGCAAAAAGAAAAGCACCAGTGAACTCAGCACGTCAAGGCGCGTCGAATGATATACTTTTTATCTTGCTGAAGTGTACATAAAGTTTTTCTTAAATTTTAAGTAAACTTAAATTAATAAATTAAGTTAAAGTTAACCAAATTGCATCATATCGCATATCATTCGATTCGGCTGATCACCAGGAACACAATGGTACCATTTTTTAAGCTCTAGCGTCATTATGTGCCAAGTTATTGGCAAAAACGTCATTTGACCTCAGTTGACCTCATTTGACCTGACCCATGGATAAGTACACCAAACAAAGAAGCACCAAGTGACCTGCTGTTGAGTACTGTGGTTTCAAAGCACAAAAGTGATAGAACGAAGCGGATATCTCCAGTATTTTCCGAATTTAGTATTTTCCCATAGGCTTAACATTACGACGTAATGACCTCTAACTGACCTCAGGTCAGTGACCTCAAAAAACCCGAACTATATGTTATACAACTCGGTGAACTTAGCACATCCTGAAAGTTTGAAGGAAATCAGTGCAAAACTGTGAGTTGGACAGGTGCAAAAAGAAATTTGAAATTTGACCATGACCTTGTACCGGTTTTTCTGACCTGGTGACCTGACCTAAGGTCACCCGGACCTGAAATTTTCAGGTCATATGTAAAAAGGTTGCCCCATAGGCTGTGCCAAATTTGGCGGCGCTGCGCGCCGCCGTTTTTACGCTATCTTCGAAAAACCTTAGGGGGGGGGGTCGCATCGACCCCCCCCCCCCCTGCCAGGGCGAGGGTTAAGGTCAGGACATCAGGTCAGATTCAGCAATCACGGCTCTAAAAAAATTGCAATCCTGGGATTTGATGGGGACATAGAAAAACAATGAAGCCCCTTGGCATGTGTTCAGGTATGGTTCAGGTTATCAATACTGATCGATTGATTTGCAGCATGACCGTTTCCAGTCAGTTCATGACCATGACCATTGGTCAAATTTTGAAGTTGACATTTTCAGGTCAAATTATAATTCATTTGATGCAACTCAACGAGAGAAACACGACAGTGATAAAATACATATCATCCAATTATTCACGTCAAAGTTATTGCAAAAATAGTTGGAAAAGTTGCTTCGGCAAAGTAAGTCTATTTTGGTGTTTTCGCCCCCTGAGAACCAAACGGTTGGCCTGATGACCAATATGAGGTCATGTTAGCGAAAGAGTCTTGAAACAGCAATCAAATGCGTGTTTCCGAGACTCTCTAGCTCATTTGGTTCACAAGTTACACGCCAATTTGTGAAAGACTGTCACAATCGGGAAGAAGTTCGTGTGATAATTCTATCGTTGGTGACTCCGGTAGTGACAACGATGCCCTGATCGAAAAATGACCTTTATAAGTCCAAAAGATCTTGTGGCGAGCTATCTAGCTCCCTTTTTCTGTATCTTTTCCGCGTCTTTCGAGCTTCCTCAGTTTTTCGGATGAAAAACTGAGGAAAAACCCCCCACCCATGGCGAAGTTGGTTGAGACCCTCTCATCACAAACTTCTGAGGCGGAAAGCAATGGTTAATTCTAGGCTGTCATTGAAGCAATTGATCAATCAAATGTCACCCCATCATGACACGTTTCCCCATGCACTCTGACAGTCGTTATCGATCGCAATGGACTGAAGAGCACTTCCAGCCGAGTCACTGTTAATTTAATCCGTCCTCTTCGGACAAAGCTCATCCGCAATCGGGGGTCGTTCAAAAATCATCAGCACGATGGGCGTCGGCATGGGATGGAGGCACCGGACGGCATGTGGCAGCCGACTGCGGCCATCAGATCGGTCATACGGAGCTCAGCAGCCCCGCCGGACTGTCGTGCAACAGCGCTGCGCCGACCGACCACAGGTAAACGGCGACCACGACCACTGCTTTGGTTTACAGGTAAGCTTGATTTTTAGACCCGGTCTTAGACAAGACGATTTGCAACTCATATTCTTTTACATACATGATTTTTTTCCGTTCCTGTCATAAATCAATAGTCGAAACTCGATATGTTTTATAGTTTGATCTGAGCTTCCTTATAAGATAGTTCAGTGTTTAACTCTCGCCCGTAAACGGTGTTTTGCCACCTTCGCCCATGCAGGGGGGGGGGGGTTGGTGCGAACCCCCCTGGCGTTTGAAAACGGAGCGTCGTAGAGCTTAGCGGAAAAGACCAACGGATTGCTCTCAATGAGATCTCGCGATTGGTGGTATATTTTTTTGGTCCTAGGTCAATATTTGACCTACTTATGACCGGTCAAAGGTCAAATTTTCGGAAAAATCTAACTTTTTCATATTTCCGCGCCGATTGCGGCAAAACGGTAAGAGATGTCGACTTGAAACCTTCACTATCGTGATCCTTGATCAATTCTCTATCGTTTGGTGTGTATTTCGATGTCATAACTCTAAAAATGATGCGTTGGGAGCATCGGAAGTCTGCAAGGTCATTTGTGCATTGGGTCACGTCAGGCGTGTGACGTCACTGACCTGACCCTGACCCAAAATGGACTACAAGAAACAACCGACGATGCCTGAAATGGATAGCAAATTCGAATTCAGGGCATCAAAATACCCCGAAAAGGCATACAAGTGCAAGAAGTCATTACAGGTCAACCGAGGTCACTGACCTGACCTTGACCTTTAGTAAACTTGAAAAGGTCAACGGACATTGTGCCAATGTCAAATCAGCCAGTTATGATTCTAAAACAATCCATCAGTGTGTCAGGTCAGTCGGCATTTATACCAATGTGAAGCAATCTCCAATTTAGCGTAAATCTGGCCGGAGGTTGTTCCCTTTATGACGTCATAACTCCGTGACCTGACATGACCTTGACAAAAAAAATACCAAAAGTTGCGCAAAGGATGTCCTATAGGGTACTGAAAATTTGAGCAGGCTATCTGAAACGGTTCGGCGTGTAGCTAAGAAAAACCTCAGGGGGGGGGGTTGCACCAACCCCCCCTACATGGGCGAGGGTTAAATTAAATTAATCGTCAACATTTTCTGTTGTTTCGAATATGATGCGAATATTCTTGCTCTGCCAACTGCTTTGCTAGCTCGCAGTGTTAATGCCTTGCAAAAATAAAGTTGGTTTCACCGCTCTTATACCTACTTCTGGTAACAGCAAACACATCACGTCCTATCTGCCTAACTATGTATGCCGGTTTCGGCTATTCTACGACCGAAACGTGCCGTTACCTGATCCGTGACGTGTCTGAGACGTGACGTGACGTTACCCCTGCCTCTGCCGGTCTGTTCTCTGGCCGATCTCAGTCACGATGCTGCTCCGTCTGCGCCGCCTGCGAAGCGTCTGTCGCCTTCGTCACCCGCTGCTGAGGGAGACGCTGGCGGAACTGCTAGGAACCGCCGTACTGGTGGTGAGTGGGAGCTGGTGCTGGTGATTGGTGCTCGTGTAGAGTGGCCTGGCAGATAGTAATGGTGAGTAGGGAATGGTGCTGCCGCTGGTGCTTTGTGCTGGTGGCGAGAGTGGACTAGTGCTAGTTGCTAGGATTCAGCTAAAATTCGGTTGTAAAAAACATGGTTAGAGTTACTTCCGCTATATACTTGTAACGCAGACGGTTCGCGGCCAGCGACTACTTGATCTCACGGTAAATGGCAACGCTTAGAACTGATCATTTGTGTGCCATAAGAAACAAGTTGTGTGTACCAGTTTGTTGACAAAGTGTGAAACCCTTCCCGTCACAGTTTATCGGCAACTCTACGATAGCGAACAACGTGCGGAATCCGCTGGTGGCGGCCGTCAACGTCCCGCTGGGTTACGTCGCCGCCGTGATGATCGCCGTGTTCGCCACGGGTGGTGTGTCCGGTCAGTGTTATATGTAATGTCAGGCTGAGTGATGAGTATGCAAAATGCATTATGCATTTGTTATTGTTTGAGTTTATAATTCTTCATCAAGACTGATAAACATCTTCAGGGCACTTGCATTAGTTTTTTAACCTAGGTGCACCATAAATTTTATATTTTTCCTTACATGCTGCTCGTCTCTCTCTCTCTCTCTCTCTCTCTCTCTCTCTCTCTCTCTCTCTCTCTCTCTCTCTCTCTCTCTCTCTCTCTCTCTCTCTCTCTCTCTCTCTCTCTCTCCCTCTCTCTCTCTGACTCTCTCCCCCCTCTCTCTCTGACTCTCTCCCCCTCTCCCTCTCTCTCTCTCTCTCTCTCTCTCTCTCTCTGAATCTCTCTCTCTCTCTCTCTGACTCTCTCCCTCTCTCTCTCTCTCTCTCTCTCTCTCTCTCTCTCTCTCTCTCTCTCTCTCTCTCTCTCTTTCTCTCGTTTAGTTTCAGTCTTTAGCAAATCTTGCACGTTTTCTTAGGTTCTCCGAATCAGCCAAATCTGAATTAATTTATCCTTACACAAATAACTCTGCTCAAACCCAGTTGATCCGGACTATGACCTGTCGTGAACTCAGCTGACCGATATTTCCAGGCGGCCACATTAACCCAGCCGTGACCCTGGCGCTCTGCCTGTCGGGCCGATGTGACCTGACCCGTCTGCTACCCTTCACCGGTGCCCAGTACATTGGCGGCTTCATCGGCGCGCTCCTGACGCACATTCTATTCTTTGGTAAGCTTGACACATGGCCATGGCCATGATAAGCCAACATGAGATTTAACGTATGTGTCCATCAGCCCTAATGAGACGAGTAAATATTTCTTCAAGCGCCTAAATTTAAGAAAGTAATCGTTGACCTTTTGTGCTTAGGTACTATTTATTACGTACCCAAATCATACCAGTGACATTTATAGTCATTTCTTGCCAAAAAAGAGAATTGTTTTCTTTTAAATGTATTTTTTTCTGATGAAGGTAGGGGAGAGCGGGGCCAATTGAACCACTTTTTATATATTGACATGCACAGCGAGATCTAGTTGTCATATCGAAAAGTGCACAATGCCATGGAAAAATATGCTCTTTTGGCTTTATTTTAAGATATGTAAAATTATGTTTCAAACATATTTTGCTGCCAAACGCATGCTTATAAAACAGCTCTACGCCCGTTTCAATTGACCCCGATGCGAGGGTCAATTGAACCAGCCCATGGGGTCAATTGCACCTATCCTTAACAATGGGATGGTTTCCTCTTTAAGGCCACTTTCTTAAGGAGATATTTTGTCCGGTTTACTTTTCCAAATGCTACATTCAATAGGTCGTTGGAAAGCTAAAAGTGCAAAGTTCCTCATAATAGGTGACATAAAGTACATAGACTATGGTAAAATGGGCGGATGAAAAAAATGAGAAATATATCAGGCTATAGTGCGCTTTCAAGCAAAAGGCTGAAGAAAAAGGGGTCAAAAATTGAGCTCTAGTAAACTACTATTTCAGTTTAAAAGCTCATTTCAAAGGTGGACTATTTCCTTAAATGTTTACAGCCGTTGAACAATAACCATTGCAAAGGTCACCGGGGTCCATTGAAACGGCCTGTGGCCCTGTTTCAACTGACCCTCAGAGAAGCGTTTCAATTGACCCCATCCGCTCCCGCCATCTCGCATGCGCCGTAAAGCACATGTCAAACGAGCTGGAGGGACGGCATCATGCTGAATGAAGGGCCAAATAAGGTGTTATTCCGGAGCCAGGAGTTCTTCTTTCAACAAACAAAGGTATATGAGATATCACAAAATATTCATAAAAACGATTTCTCCCAAACGCCCCTCAAAAACACAAAAAACAAGTGTCATATCAAAATTAACGTCCGTTTGCCGCCCAAACGCCGTTGACAAAGGAAGTGGTCGAGCGCGGATGCGCAGTGGTGTCGGCAACGCCATATGTTGCATACTGTTGAAAATAAAGCCATGTTTCATCTGACCCCGTGTTTCAACTGGCCCCGCTCTCCCCTATTCATGATAGGCATTTTACAATTCTTATACATTTTGTTGCTTGAGTTGCTCAATTTGATATTGCGTTCTTAACCCGCGCCCCACTGGGGTCTGCGTATAACACGCCCTACTGGGGGGGGGGGGGGGGCTATTCATAGCCCCCCTCCTAACTCCGAAACTACTGGGCCGATCGTTAAAATTCAAACGGCGTCTGATAGCCCCGGAAAAACTGTCGAACGAAACCTAATTTCATTGACCTCGAGGTCACCGATGACGTCACAGGTCAGGTCAAAGTAAAATTTATTAACATTTTGGCTTGTTCACGTTTTGGGCTCTGGCCGCCGTCTTACAAGTCAGATCAGGCTCATTTTTGGATCACACACTCGTGAACAGATGCTCTAGATACCCTGAGGGTACCAAACTTGTACTTTGATTTTCAGGTCAAGGTCAGGTCATCACAGGTCACGAAAATATTACACCAGTAAAACGCCTTTTGGGCGAAGAACGAGCGAGCGAGATAGTGAACCCTGCAGGCTGCACGTGCGGAAGGGCGAGAGGGTACTTCCAACGGGCTTGCGCAAAGCACCCTTCTAACCGGTCGCTAACGGTGTACCAAATTTGAACGCAATCGGCCCAGCCGTTCCTGAGATCTGGAAGCGGCATTCTGCACGTGCGCACGTGCAAACGGGGTCCAATCTGACTTTTGCACGGCACCCTACTAACTGGTCCCCAACCGTGTACCAAATTTGAGCGCAATCAGCCAAGCCGTTCTCGAGATCTGGAAGCGCCCCCTGCACGTGCGCACGTGCAGTAGCACCTTAACCGCAACACATGGGAATGCATTGCCTGGTGGGTGCCTACCTGTATGCCAAGTTTCAGCGAAATCGCCCCAGTAATTGCCGAGTTATTAAAATGGGAACAAATTTGACACCTCTTATTGTTGTATTTTGCACGTGCACTGGGGGTGACCCACATGCATCGAGAGTATCCTATTTTTGGTAGAAGGGATGCTGCTACCCTACAAAAATTACCGCAAGTCAATCGCCCAAGCGGCTGCTGAGATATGAGCCTCTAAAAATCACTACTTTTGCAAAACAGCTTGAACACCCTTGACTTTTCACGTGGCACGTGCCATGACGGTCACTGAGATGTATCAAAAGTAGTCAATTACGGGGTAGAAGGGATGGGGCTACCCCGCAAAAAAGACCGCAGGCCAATCGGTGCAGCGGTTGCTGAGATATAAGCCTCTCAAAAGCGTTACAGGCCGGGCCGGGCCGACCCGGGCCGGGCCGCTCATACTGAGATTTTTCCGTTAGGTATATTGAAAAGACTCGCTTCGCTCGCTGCGCTCGCTCGCTCGTAATCATGAGTCGGTCACGTGACACATGTTTTATGGTCCATTTAGGTCTGAGATTTCGAATTTGATGTCGTCTGTGTCATTGGAGGTCATTTGAGTCGAATTTAGCTTAGGTCAGGTCACTTTCAGGTCAAAAAAGGTCAAATTTTGAAATTGAAATTTTTCAACAAAAAATGTGCCTATTGGATGCAGTTTGAGCTCAGGAACACGATGGTGCTATTTATATTGGCGTACGATGTCAAATACGTGCTGAAAATCGATTTGAAAAATTAATAATTGTGAATTTTTTTGCAATAATGCGTAAAACTTGACCATTTTTGAAGATATTTAGCTAAAACTTGCTAGAGTTAGTCATAATAATGCGTTCTATCACATATATTCCGGTTTTTTCGAAAAGTCAAAAACTTTTTGAAAAAAATGTAAAAATATAAATTTTGGATTTTATTATATTAAATTTTCCAAATTTTCAAAATTTCGAAAATCCGAGATATCAGTTTGATAGCGCAGTCTATTCTGAGTCCTCTCATGCAAAGAAATTGGATCTAGCTTAAAAACTGAGCTCTTGGGAGCGATTGCCGTGGTTCAATGTTTTGCGTCGAAATCGGCCGAACATGACGTCACTCTGACGTCATTTCCGGCCGACCTATAGTATATACGAAGTTCAAATTTTGACACAAGGTGTCAAATTGATGCAGCCTAAGGTACTGAAAGTTTGGCGTCGATACGTCAAGCGATTTGGATGTTATTGCAGACAAACGGGAGGGGGGGGGCTATAAATAGCCCCCCCCCCCCAGTGGGGCGCGGGTTAACAGGTTTTTAATCAGTTTGCTGCTTTTTCACAATTTTAGAACGAAAACGTTTCATCGACACGATAAATGTGATCGACGATTTGTGATTGTCGATAACAGTACCTACTCCGTACCGATCACTCGGCTGTGCCATTCTGCGACAGATTTGATTCAGTCCGACACCGATCGACTCAACCCGACAATATATGGAATATTCTCCACCTATCCGAACAACAGCATATCAATCGGAGGAGCCTTCTTTGACCAGGTAAATCGGTTGGTAATTAACAATAAATTTATCCAGTGAACTGCTGTGTATACGGTAGATGATGCATTTACGTCCATTTATTGTGTTGACACATGGCTACATCACAAAGCTGCATATCAAGAAATTAATTTGAATTAATATTGATGGAGTTAAGTGCTTGTGCGAGGAGCATTGTAATAGTTATTTGAATATATATAAGCATGACCTTTCCTCGATATTGAATAAAAAAGTGCCGAAAAATGTACTTTATTGATAGAAAATATGTGATATTTCGGCCACTGGCCTTTGTCGAACATATATAATCAAGATAAACAATAGTTTCGTTTCGCCGCATCGCGGTCCAACTGCCTGTACACAATTACGTACATCAGTTCGTGACAAAATCGATATCCTGTAACAAAGTATTATAATTCCGTTGAAAGGTGAAAACTCTATCTATGAGTACCTACCTACACAGGTTTAGATACACCTACCGGCCAATAACAATACCTATAATCAGGTTTAGATACCTTCATAAAGCTAGAAAAACATGACAAAGGCTTTAGACCGAACGAAAGTATTATTATTATTATTATTATTATGGCAAACATCCACCAACCACAGAACAGTGGGCATTACGGTGGCATAGCACAAACAGACGCACACATGCATACAATTTCAACACTTAATCGACTAACACAATATTCGGCGCAGTGTGAAGCAATCCATACGCGAAGATATAAATAACCATGTGTCCCATGTATGACAATTAAACTGTGTGCTCCTTTGTTTGAAGATATTTAATCAATTCCTTTTTAGATGCACTTCTTATCTGTGTCGGCAAACTGTTCCACAATTTTGAACCCTGGTATGATAAGGAGCGTTTTAAGAAGTCAGTTTTAGGAGCAATAAGATCAAGGTTACAAGCCTGTCTCGTATTACGTTCCGATTTCCTGGTCCTAAAGAGGGATGAAAGTAACGGCGACATGGTTTCTGGATAGAGTAGGCACTGGCGAACAACGGTGAGGACAGCAATGTTGCATTCCAACTCGAGGTCACCGCGCCATGCAATATTTTGATGTTCTCTACCTGCGATGCGCCGCGCAAATTTGACAATTTTTGATATTCTCTTCCTCTGAGCCAGACCACATGTGCCCCAAAGAGACACACAGAAGCGAAGATGAGGAAGAACTAGAGCATTTATTAATAATACGATGGTTTTGGGAGGTAACACATGACGAAGGTGACTTAGGCGGATTAACATGCCTATACATCGGCCTACGACGCTGTCAATATGACTGCTCCAGGTGAAACAACTGTCTATTGTCACGCCTAGACTCACCAATGTACTTTTGACGGGTATCACAGCATCAAAGATAGTAATGCTCCGCAAGTTGATTCGCCTCAAAATAGTTTTAGAGCCAAAAACAGCTACTTGTGATTTACTGACATTGATCGTCAGGCGATTTCGAGAGAACCATACACGAAGCCTGTTCAGCAATGTTTGAAGACGATTTATAATGTCATCAATGTCTTGAGGTTTACCTGAAACAATTATCTGAGTATCATCTGCGTATTGGACTAGGGAGCCCAAGTTATTGGCAACAGAAGTCATATCATTGACAAACAAATTGAACAACATTGGGCCCAAGACACTGCCTTGCGGAACACCTGATGAGACCTTGCCTCTAAAATCATCACAGCCTCGAACATACTGACATCTCTCAGCAAGGTAGCTCTCAAACCAGGGGTGTTCAATTCCGTAATGAGAAAGTTTTTGAAGCAATATACTGTGATCAACAGAATCAAAGGCTCTGCTCAGATCTAATGACACCAAGATACATATTTTGCCGCTATCGATGGTGGACCGAATTGACTCTGTCAACGCAATGAGAGCATGGTTTACGGAATGACCAGGTCGGAATCCAAACTGCTCGTCCGATAGCAGACAACAGTCTTCTAAATATGTCTTAAGCTGAAGTGAAACAACTCTTTCAAGAATCTTAGACACAACGTTTAACAGAGAAATCGGTCTGTAATTAGTCGCATCCCTGGGGTCACCTTTACCCTTAAAAATAGGGACAACTTCTGCAGTTTTCCAACACAGTGGTATGGTACCGCTGTTGATGGAGGCATTCAAAATACGCAAAAGCGGCAGAAGCTGCCTGCCTGAGAAAGACTTAAATAAAAATGTAGGCAGCTTATCGGGACCAGCTGATGAATGCATTTTGAGCGAACGCACTACAGAACGAAGTTCGGCCAGTGTTGCTGGACGAAGATCAAATTTGGTGGATAAAACTCTAGTTGGACCAGAAACAACGTCAGTGTCATTCCTATTCCCAACAACATTAGCACTGGTGGATGAATTAGACCCTAACGAACAGAAGAAGTCATTAAATGACTGTGCTGTATGCTTATCTAGGACCTGAGTGGCCTTTGACCTACCCAAGGTCGAATTTATCAGATCCCACGTATCTCTGCTGGATGAATGAGTTGTGATACTGGACTCAAATTTTAAACGTCGCTCTGAGGAGATGGCACTCCTTACCTGCCGGCGCATGCGCTTATAAAGAGCAATGTCAGCTGGGGAACCAGAGACACGAGACACACGCAGCTGAATAGTTGCTGAACGGATAAGCTGTCTTGTTTCAGCGGAAATACCAAAACCAGATTTATGTTTAAGTGAAATAGTAATGAATGGAGCATGACGATCGATGACAGGAGTTACAGAGTCTGTCCACCCTTTCCAAGCCTCATCAAGAGAAGTATCATCACCTATTTGTGACCAGGAAATCGTCCGTAAATCTCTAGAAAATGACTCAAAATCGATATTTTTCCAGTTGCGGAATGTTATTGCTTTGGGTTTCACTTTAGTTCTCCTTACTTTAATTTTTGCTATAACTAAGTTATGATCGGATGCAATACAGTCTAGCGAAGAGCATTCTGTCACAATAGAAGAATCACTAACAAGAACTATGTCAATGAGGGTGGAACTAGAGCTTGTAATGCGGGTCGGGTGGCTGACGCACTGTTGCAGTCCAGTATTGCCGATGACAGAAAGCAGTGATCGAACGTGGGGAAGGTTTGGTTGAAGCAGATCACAGTTTAAGTCGCCACACAATACAACACATTTACCTGCCGATAAGAGCTTTTGAATCGATAGCTCTAGCGCCTCAAAATCTAATTTAATGCCATCGTACTTGGGCGGTCTATAGACACAACCTATGGCCAGTGCTCGGTTATGGCCACACTGTACATTTATCCAAGTTAACTCAAGCCGGCTGGAGCCATGAAGAGCCGGGCTAGAGAGTTTCGAGAACGTAAGGTCATTGCGGCAGTAGATGGCTACACCGCCGCCCTTCTTCCTCGACCTATCGACTCTACTGGCCAACTTCATACTGGCAATGGGTACATCAGGCTCACCCCTCCTTAGCCAAGTCTCTGTAAGGCACAACACATCAATGTGGTGACGCTTAACATAATCTGACACAATATCTGATGAGGGTGTCAAAGATCTTACGTTCAGGTTACCTACTGATAAGACGTATTTTGATGACGGCACGCGACTATGGCTGATGCTGGTATCCAGCACTCTACATGGACTCGAGACCAAGGCAGCGGCTACTGATGGCAAGGAAGGCGAGGTACGAGACGCGGGGACTGGGGAACCTGACGATTCCTTGGCTGGCTCATTAACTACACTATGTTTGGGTCTTCGGTGCTCAGACCCTATAAAAAAGTATTTCCTGTCAACTGTAAGATCGATCTGAGGGTCTGCGTGGCACCCTCCCTATTGTAGTGAACTGCGTCTCTCGCTAATCCGCTGAATCTACAGCTGTGCAGTGCCTGCCGCAAGTCAATAAATTTGATGTCAGGACTCTGTGAGCAAAGAGTGCGCAGCCTATTGTTGACGCTCTCAGATCTGCTGTAGATGAAGGATCCGGTGTCCTTTCTTGGGATTATACTACATATAAACACATCGCTTACACCATCCCTACGCTTAGTTTGGTCAGCTAAACTGAATATGTCCTTTGCGACCAGTTCGGATCCTTTGCGAGTTACGTCATTAGTCCCAGCATGTATAACAACCCGTTTAGCACCACATTTGCGTATGGCCTGGCTGATGTCCTGTCTCACGTGCTCGGTAGTGGCACCTGAGATGGAGTGAAAAGCGGGTTTACTGGGGCCGCGTTCACTCATTCCCTCGAGGCGCCTCACGTTGGAGTCACCGATCACCAGCAAAGACGTCCCTGCATTAGCGGGCTGGCGACCGGCGTGCCGTTCTCCAGCGGTCGTCCGGTGTTGGCGAGATAAGTCCTCAGCTGTCAGTAGCTGCTGTGTGTCAGCCTCTGCTGGGTACTGGGCATGACACGCTGAAGAGCGTTCAGGTTGACAGCCGTTCTGCTGCTGCAATGAATGAACCAGCTGCCTCACCTGACTGATGTCTTCAGCCATCCTGTCCATTTTAAGCTGTGTCAGTCGCACTGCCTCCATCACATCCATCAGAGTGACCGCCAGGAATGATGGTCCAGGCACAGGCTCAGATGGCTCAGTCGGTGGCGACCGATTGTGTGACAGTGGCTTCTCGGACGGCGGCTGGGAAGGCACAGATAGCGGCTGTGGCAGCTCTGATGGCGGCTGCTGCCTCTCAGGAGGCGGCTGCTGCTGCTCGGGTGGCGGCTGCTGCCTCTCAGGTGGCGGCTGCTGCCTCTCAGGAGGCGGCTGCTGCCTCTCAGGTGGCGACTGCTGCCTCTCGGGTGGCGGCTGCTGCCTCTCAGGTGGCGGCGGCTGCTGCTGCTCGGATGGCAGCTGCCGCCTCTCGGGTGGCGGCTGCTGCCTCTCAGGTGACGGCTGCTGCTGCTCGGGTGGCGGCTGCCACTGCTCGGGTGGCGGCTGCCACTGCTCGGGTGGCGGCTGCTGCTGCCTCTCAGGTGGCGGCTGCTGCCTCTCAGGTGGCGGCTGCTGCCTCTCAGATGGCGGCTGCTGCTGCTCAGGTGGCGGCTGCTGCCTCTCGGGTGGCGGCTGCTGCCTCCCAGGTGGCAGCTGCTGCTGCTCGGGTGGCGGCTGCTGCCTCTCGGGTGGCGGCTGCTGCCTCTCAGGAGGCGGCTGCTGGTGCTCGGTTGGCAGCTGCTGCTGCTCGGGTGGCGGCTGCTGCCTCTCGGGTGGCGGCTGCTGCCTCTCAGGAGGCGGCTGCTGCCTCTCTGGTGGCGGCTGCTGGTGCTCGGTTGGCAGCTGCTGCTGCTCGGGTGGCGGCTGCTGCTGCTCGGATGGTGAGCCTATGTGGTTACGGAGGGCGCGTGCGGAGCCATCACCACGATCACCACCTGTAGGCTGTAATGGTGAGCCTTGTAGATGTGACTGGTGATTGTCACAGTCCTGAGAATGAATAGGACATATCCATTCTGTGACAAGTTCACCGATCCTCTGTTCCTCACAGCGACTGTGAACGAAACTGCAGCAGTCAGCAAATGTGCACTTGATCACTGCATTTGCTCTAGTGCGGGACCGCAACACGAGTCGATCGGAGGCTTTGTTACACACCATGCATGTTGAAGACTCGTCAGTTCTTTGAGCACTGCATGCGCGTTCAATATCAGTGTCGTTCACAGCATGCGTTGGGCCAGGGTTGAGCTCCACGTCACCAGCTAATAGTAGTAAGAGGACAAGATACAAACGTCTATTGTCATACTTGCGGTGGTGTCGCTTGCAGGGAGCTGGGCGTGGGAGTATGACGGTCAGCTGAGCAGGGACCCTGCAGCTAGACCAGGGTGAGTACTCCACGGTATCTTGCCTTTGACTTACAGCGGTCAAAATCACAGCTGTAAGCAGTACGTATGTGTAGACCCTTCCGAACATGGTTCAGACTCCGTTTAGTTCAAGACGAATAACTTGCTAGTGAACATATATGTCACTATGTAGTGTCACATTCAAAGTTGGTGACTACTCGAAGAAGACGTCTTGCAACAACGTCACGTGCTTGGTCAAATCAGGGTCTTGCAAGGGTTTTAGGAATTTATTCAGGCCAAAATTCCACAAAACACACCAAAATTGGAGAACGATATTGAAAATAATTCTCACCTTTAGGACTTATCTTCGCGGCCCATAACAGATAAAGCTTGAGCGAATCTATGTACATTCAAGACAGCTTGTAGTCAAACGTCATATCTTCATACGAAGAGTTCAAAAACCAGCGCCAAATCATGCCACAGGTGCGCCGAAGACATCGTGGAGGTAAGACAGTCCTTTTTAATAATTATACGAACTTAATTGCGACGAAACACTATGCAACTTGTCTTATGCAACAGAGAAAGACGTTCGCAATAGGAGATGCCCAATAACACTGCTAAAACCAAGGCTATAGAACTCCGCTAAAACCTTCAGCAAATATTCGATTTCTATCAGAGCTTTTTTTGTAAGTAAGGATAAGTAAGGACATAATAAGTAATAAGTAAGGACAGTTTAAGACGAAATTATCCTAACATCTGTGAAGACCGCGTGTGGAAGGTGAGTCTATACAAATCAAATGAAAACAAGCACATAAATAAACAATCCAAATTAATATTCGTAATGCGTGTCTATCTTTGCATCTTGCATGTTTAGAATTGGTGTATTTAGGTACATGTTACCCCTTCTCTGCCACCACCGTCTTCGAGCAGGCCAGGTCATGCGCTCGAAGTCAGATCCCAAGCTCACCATACTTCTCCCCTTCCTCTGATAGGTGCTCGGAACTGCCATCCTGGTGTTCGGCATCATGGCTATATCCGACAAACAGAATATGAACGTGCCGAAGCCGCTGCTGCCCGTGGGCGTGGGTATCGTTCTGTACGGAGCCATCGCCTCGTCGTGCTCCAACACGGGCGCGGCGCTGAACCCCGCCAGGGACCTGGGGCCGAGGATCTACTCCTTTGTCATCGGCTACCGACAGGTGTTCAGGTGGGAAGGTCCTTCGGAGGCAAGGGGCACAGGCAAGTGGGACAGCCTTTCAGGGACGGAAGTCAAAGATAGTTGGGGACCGCCTTCAGGGTCTGGTAGCATAGACATTTGGGAAGGCTCTTCAGGGTAAAACACCAGGACACCTGTGAGAAGACTCATCAGGGACATGGGCAATGGGCATATCCATTATCCACTATACAGCTAGGGGTGACCTTCAGGGACTTGGGACTGAAGAAGGAAGGGCACCGTTCATGACCGGGCACACGGACACTGGACAGGTGGGAGCGCCCTCCAGGAACAGGGACACAAGCCGGTGGCATCCACGTCCTTCGGGAACCGGGGACAGAGAGCCAAGGATAGAAGGCTGGTGTCTAACGCGCATGACTACTTTTATTCGCTCCTTCCAGTGTGAGTCATTTCTTGTGGATTCCGTTGGTCGTGACACGTGACTCCCTTTTTATTCTCTTTCTATAAGGGTGAGGCATCAGTTTTGATAGATTCCGGGTGGTCGTGACCCCTCTCTTTCCCCCTCCCCAGTGTGGGTCACCAGTTCTGGTGGATCCCGGTGGTGGCCGGCTACATTGGCGGCCTTCTCGGTGCCTTCGTCTACCTGTTCTGCATTGAGCTGCACCACCCGACGGCAGAGGGCGACGAGCAGAGGGAGGGGGCGCCACCAGCGGCCTCACGGGGATGTGAGAAGGACGGCTGGGAGAACGGGGCCCTGCAGGTGGAGGGGTGCCTGTGACCCCGCCGGAGCAGACGAGGCACAGGGGGTGCCTGTGACCCCACCGGAGCAGATGAGGCACAGGTGTGGATGGGTGTTGGGTGCTGACTGCTGGTGACCCTCCTCAGACGAAGGACAGGTGTGGAGGGAGAATAGAGATGGAGTGTCGGCGAAGTGTCCCAAATGCAGGACATTGCGAGACATTTCCTATGAACCTATCAAGAAGAGATAGGAAGTTTACGGTGTAATTGCTTTTTGCGCTAACCGATGGCCCCTGTGAGAAAACATAGGTACGTTAGTGATCGTTTGAAGCGTGTCACATTTACGTCTTATAGATGAGGCATACCCGTAAGCCATTTGCTGAGCTTGACATATGCATATACGGTATTTGCATGTCATTGCATTATTCAATGTTGGTTGCAAGCTGAAAATTTAAATGGCTGTGGTACATTCATGATTGTTTTGGACAATCCCTTGAGCACCGCCTTCAACTTGACGCTACCTATCCCGGGATGCGACCTAGAAAAGCAGCGTGAAAAGGCCTTCCGTGATCCATCAACTGTGCACCTTTATGAAGGTTAACTATCACATCATGAATGCCACCTGATATGATACTTGACTGTACGAGTATCAGTACATCTTTCATCTCGAATATAACTGGCCAGTGGTCACAGACATTACTGGATATCCGCACTTGTATATGTTTGTATTTCATTTCTAGGAACAATTATCAGCTCGATTACATGTTGGCTATGTTCAAATAACACTTCATTCAACACCACTATCGATCATCCATCCATATCACACTTGGTTCACCCCTCCTTCGCTGCCGCAAGCCCCACTCAATCTCCCATTCCCTATCACGGTTCCACTGGCTTTCCGCGGCTCTTCTGCGTCACATATGTAGTGAACCGCTGTAGGAAGCGCGGGTACTCGCGCTTGTAGACCAGCCGCAGGCCGGTGGTGGGCGCCCAGCCGCCGGGGTTCACGTGCGAGCTGTACGCGACGTGGCAGCGCAGCCGGCGCCGGTCTCCGCTCACCTCCTGTTCGTCCATTCCGGCCAGGGTGGCGGTCATGGTTGCACGCACAGCTCCGGCCGGCGCCGGCGGCTCGTCCGGGTGACCGGAGATCGAGTGGTTGACCGTGATGGACCACTCACGGTCGCCGATACGCCGCCGGCACAGGTGTGACCAGAACACGGTGTCGCGCTGCTGGGCGGGCCAGATGCGTCGGTGCAGCTGGTGGCAGATGACCGTGCTCGGGTCAGGCCGCGCCAGCACAGTCACACGGTCGACGGTGGTCTCCCAGTCGAGACGCACCGTCGGCTCCCAGTAGGCGCGGCACAGCTCGCGCGCTGTCACTCCGTCCGCCTTGGAGACGGCCTTCAGCGGGTCGACCGACTTGTTGTCAGCCGGTAGCTCCATTCGGTACATGCGCATGTCGCCCTGCTGCGCGAACAGCGTCCAGCCGTCCGAGACATCTGACGACACCAGTCCCAGTTGCTCGGTGACCACTCGCTCAATCTCGGCAGCCAGAGGATGGCCCAGCTGAGAACAGTTGCCCGAACAGCCCCCGCGCGGCGCGGCCGCCGGCGGCACCGGCACCGGCACACTGACACCGCCAGAGTCGACAGTGTCCGGCTCTCTTGATAGAGACCGCTGCGGCTTCGCTGGTCCTTTCACAGCGTTAGTGGGTGGCTGAGTTTCGGTTTTCGAGGATTCGTCCTTACTTTCTTCGCCCTGTTGTTCGCCGTTGCTGTCCTTTCTGGCTGTGTCCTTAGACTGATCGACATTCTCTTTCTCTTTGGCTCCATCCTGGGTGTTTTCGCCATTTTCCTGCTTCGTCTCCTTGGCAGCATCTTCATCTTCCTGTTCCTTCTGTCGTCTGAGCTGTTCCTCCTTCATCTCTGCACTCTTCTTCCTCCTGAGCTCGTCCCTCTTTCCAGTCTCCTGCTCCAGATGCAGCAGGCTGACGGCCAGCGCGTCATGAAACTCCTCGTCGCTGAGCACACAGTCGGGCCCCTCCTCCAGCGACACGGAGCTGGTGACGAGAGACTTGGTGCCCGGCTGGTACGAGTTGGCTCGCGGCAGTCGGCGCGGCGCTACCACACCCCTGCTTACCCTAGCCTCCAGACTGTGCACCAGCTCCTTCAGACTGGCCAGCTCGGCCCTCACCTCACTGACCTGAGTCGCCAGCTGCTGCACTGCGACCGAGTCTGCACTGCTCGCAGCCGCACCGCCAGCGCCAGTGACCGTGCCATTCGGAACTGCCGCGCACTCGGCTCTGTTTGACCTCGGACCAGAGCCAGAAACGTCACAACATTGTGCTCCGCTAGCACCACTGCCGCCAGCACTGACGACACCACTCCCCTCACCACTGCCGCCGCTTCTCGCCTGTCCGTCGACCGCGCTCGGCCCGACTGTTTCCGGCGCAGTTTTAGCGCCGCTCGCTGCCGGCGCCGCTGGGGGCGGGACTGGTTTCACTCCACTGCTGAGACGGGACGGCGACGATGTGGTGGACGCGCGCGAGGCGGCCGGTGCTGATTTTACGGACGTGCTGGCTACAGAAGATTTGCCGGCGTCAGAGCGTTTGGGAGCTCTGAAGGAGCGTCGCAGCCTCTGCATCAGCCCCATGGTGACACAATGAGGAGTGGCAGCGGACTCCGGAGGCTATCGGAGCTCCGCGCGGCCCGCCCGGGCGCCGATAACCTATCGGGTCCGAGCCGCAGTGGCGGAGCCAGAGACGAGACGGCACCCGTAGCCTTGATGTCTGAACGAATTGATACGAAAATTAGCGTGTTTTGTTATTTAAATAAGTACCATAACGAACCACCCATTCACTGTCAAGGTTCAGTGAAGGTCCTTGACAGTACGCCGACGAGTCACGTGCACCACATGCCTGCCCCGCTCAATGTATACAGTTTACGTACGGTCGGTGCCGGTGTCGGGGGCGTGTCTGCTCACAGAGTATACATGTGACACGTCAGAATGCCGTGGCCATCCTGTGACAGTGTCGAGTGCTCGCCGGCTCCGCCACACGACACTTAACGCCCGCTCTGATAGCGCAGCAGCCCTGTGACTGGGCACAAGCTACATACACCGGGCTATGTCAGATAAGACGATCGGCTATAGATATCCAAACGATAGAACAAACACCTTCAGACACGGCGTCTTTCATCGTGAATTCGTCACTATCGTAGACGTTGTTGGCTGAGAGGATGTGTTTATTTAAGCTTTCTCCCAACCGATACCGTGGGTGTTTGTAGGAATGTTTCGGAACAATACCTATCAGGAAGAGAAATTGGGCGGAATGTCATTCGTTGTATTCTTGGAGCATATCGTCACTGAACTGTGATTCGTACAAGCTCGTTTACATCACTACTTACTTCAGTAATCACTTTCTCTACACATATTATCTTACTAGCATAATCAAACAATGGTCATCAACATATAAAAATCATGATACTCAAATATTTTAAAGTTATTTCTGGGAATATGATTATTTTCACTATTTTTGCATCACCCGCCTCCCCATGCCTCCGCTTTTCTATCCATCTCTCCTCTCCACCTGTCCAGTATATATGTGTCCACTGTCCAGTGTCCACCCCGCCTCTCCCCCTCCCCCCGGCAGCCCTCAGCGTCCCGTATTACGCCACAGCGGCGGCTGACTGCCGTACGTCTCAGTGGTGGGTTTGATTTTCTCGGCGCGATGATCAGCTGCCACCACCTCCTCCACAGTGGCCTGACTCGGGTGCCAGGGCGCGCTCTCGTAGGGCGCCGTTAGCTCTCCGTGCGCGGACGGGGGTGCGCTCGAACGCTCTCCGGCGCCACAGGGTAGCTCGGGATCGATGATGGCCCGCAGCACGGACCAGCGAGCGAACAGTTTAGCCACGACAGCAGGCACGTCGTCCGGCAGACCCGAGTCGAGCCAGACCGGCAGCGCCGAGCCGAAGTTGAATATCTTGACGCTGGCAGGCGGAGCAGAGGAGGTGCGGGCAGGGTAGAGGATACGGCGTGGGATCAGGAACAGTGAACAGGAGAACGAACCAAAGTGAACGGATGATAGCGGGAATGTAATTTAAATAGGCCGCGAGTAATGAGGAATGTTTTAGGAATAAAAGGAACATGAACGATAAAAGCGCGGACATGGACCCCTATGATAAAAAGCGTTCTTCCCTTTCATAGGACGTCTATCAAACGCACGAAGATCCCTGTTAAACCATCTAGCCGGCCCCACCTACCTGGGGAGGATGGTGTCCTTCTGCAGTCTCTCTCTGGTAAAGTTGAAGAGCACCGACACCCTGCAGAATCTCTCCGGGCCGTCGGCCTGGTCCATGGGCACCCGAGACAGGTGGTTGGCCGTGCCCAGGTAGGAGTTCAGCAGTGTGGAGACGTCCGCTGCCGGGTGAATGCATAAACACGTGGTACAGTCTCAGGAAACACAAATGGCAGCATGGACATCCATCCTTTGCAGACGATACAAAGAGACCGTGAAAATGTCACAGGGAACATAGGCATCCATTCGTTGCCGACGGCATACATAAGCGACGGTAATAATAGGTACCACAGAGAACTTGGGCACAATCAACGACCGTCAGTTTAAAACCACACAGCATACACTCACACACACAAACACTCAGCGTCCAGACTTAACTGACCTGCCGGTGACGTGAGCGCCATCTTGGCCAGCTTGCCGAAGGTGGCGTTGGACGGTTTGGCGCTGAACATGGTGACATCGAGGGAGGGCGATCCCAGTGCCTGGACAGCGGCGAAGTCGGCGCCGGTATGAAACAACGTGTCGGCGCATCGGATCGCCTGGGCGGGACATATGCGGCACAAGTAGGTTAGGTCTCAGGGTTCCATGGATTAGATATCAGGGCCCCAGTATGGTTACCTGTCAGGGACACTGGAGGGTACTAAGCTCTCAGGGCCCCAGCGGGTCAACCCATAGGGACCCAGGGGATTAGCTCGCAGGATTTCCGTTGGGTCAGGTCATATGGGCCGCTAACAGGTCAGCTCGTAGGGTCCCGGTAGGTCAGGCCAGCTTGCAGGGTGGTTCACATTACAGACGGCTCACTAGTCCAGCTAACTCTCCGAGCACACCAACCTATATCCTCTATACCGAGCAGCGTTGTGCAGCGTTCACTCCCTCCTCACCAGGCAGTGGTTGCTGACGAAGACGCAGCGCCAGCGCGGCAGCTTCCAGAGCAGCAGCAGTGCCAGCTGCGGACGGCTGGTTAGCAGCGGGGCCAGCGCCGTCTGTTCGGCCAGCTGGCGCGCCACCAGGATCTCGTCCATGTGCAGCTGCAGCAACAGCCTGCCGCGACGGCAGAGACGGCGTCAGTGCGCTGACCACGTCACCACTGACCACTCCATATGACCGCATCCATATAATAAAATGACCAAAGCCTCACTACCACGCGATAAAATGCGAGCATTATCTTGTCCGCAACCTAGTGCTTTAGTCTGTTGACAGCTGGCAATTAACCCTCGCCCGCACATGCCATTTTCCCATCCTAGAACGCACATGGGGGGGGGGGGGTTGCCACCCCCCCCGCGCCATTTCGTTCCTGTTGGAGATAGAGCTTAGCGGTAAAGACCAAAAAGATTCTTTGGGAAGAGACGAATCCAATGATACCCAGTTTTACCTTCTCAGGTCAGTCATTGACCTTCCAGGTCAGGTCAAACTAAAAAATGTTGCTGTTTTGGGTCACCGTTGGATATCAAGTGCGCTGCTTATCAAATACCGATGACGATGCTGTTTTCTGGTGCCAAGCCAACTAGAACCTCTTTGTCACACTACCCGACCAGAATTTTGCTGCTGAGGTCATTTCAGGTCAAGTTAGGTCAAGGTCAATTATATGTGTTTGTATGTCTGTGTGTGTCTGTGTGTATACTGATGTGTGCACCGATTGTTTTTGGGTTCATATGACATGAAATCATGATCTGAGAAGCTTTTACCAAAAATGAAGTCAAAAAATTCACAAAAAGTCAATTCAGCTTGCCTACAACGCTATTATCTTTAATGACCTAGGTTGACCTTGACCCTGACCTTGACCCCTGTACATCGTCGAACAACATGTTCCATGATAGGTGGGAGGTAAGACTGGCAAAAAAGGCCGAAATCAGGGTGTCAAAAGCTCACAAGGCCCATGGCAAACGCAAGATATTGAGAATTGGCCATTTGGGTCATGACATGACCTGAAAAACAAGGTCATATCTCCGAAACCAAAAATCACAGAAACTTGAAATTTTCAGTGGACATCAAGAAAGGATAGAGGAGCAGCTATACGAAAAATCAGCCTTCTAGCCTTCTAGCTCTAAAAATGTTGAGTGCAGAGCAGAAAGACTACCTGGGGGGGGGTGGCAACCCCCCCCCCATGTGCGGGCGAGGGTTAAAAAAGTCAGTCAAAAACATTTTGGAATGAATGAGTGGCCAATAAGTCATGCACCTACGGAAAAACGTAAATCATGTGCCACTGAATGATATTGCTTGTGAATGAATAAATTTATATTTCTTACACCCGAATTACCTACTGAGTACGTAATCAGCAACAGCTCCATGCCTCGAATCCACCTAATCTGACCTTCTCTGAGACGACAGCTCGGTGGGTAGCGCCACTATACAAGCGATGGAGGCGGTTGTGCCTTCTTTCCTCAGACTCAGGGCGGTAGTGCAGGCGAGAGGTATTTCCTCGTCCGAGGTACACAGCAGCACAAACGAAAAGTCTGCAACCGGCATAGCACGTCACGGATCAGCTGAGGCCACAAGTCACAACACACTACGCCTTCAGTTTGTTTTACGCTTTTCCGTATAGGTAGGTACCGAATATAAACACTTGAGTAGGTATCCTAAATCTAAAATGAGTACCTTAATCTCGAGCAGCCAGCGGAAAGTTCGTTTACTCCAGATTAGGGAAAACGAAAATATCTGCCTTCTGTCATGAGTTAGCATTCAGTTCAGTAAATATTTCAGATATTTGCAATAGGTATTTGCATTCGTCGTGCCAATTAACTTCAATGTGCACAAACAACGACATCGGCCAAAAGAAGGCCCACTAACTGACCTGACTTGCACGAGTCGATGGGACGGACATCGACGCCGAATTTTTGCTGGCGTTTGAAGGTGATGGCTTTGCGCCGCTGGGGCGGCCGCCAGCGAGAGGTCTGGCGTTTACCGGTACTGGTGGCCGACGGAGGTGATACCAGCGCGCCGCTGGGGTCAGAGGGCCGGAGGTCAGAGAACAGGGAGGGGTCAAAGGGCAGAGGTCAGAGGAGAGGGGTCAGAGATCAGAGGTCGAAACTCAGAGGCAGGGGGCAGAGGTCAAGTCAGAGTCCAACATTCAGAGGTCACAAAGAGGTAAGATGTTACAGGACAGAGGACAGGGGTCAGAGAAAAGAGGTCAGATATCATTGGGTCACAGGCGAAAAGTTACCGGTCAGAGGTTAGTGGTGAAATGTTAAAGCTCAGAGTTCAGAGGGCAAGGGCAGCTGAGGTATAAATGGATGTCGAAGCTCTCCGATTGATACTGTACGGGCGAATGAATCGCCAAGTGTTTTAAAATGTTGGCTTGGCCCTCCCGAGTGTGAAAAAATTGCTAAAAATATGAAAAAGTACCGAACTACGTTTTCAGAGCGTTTTGGGTTGCCTACCATGTCAGACGTAGTTCATGAGCTGTTAGGGATTCAGGAAAAAAGCATTTTCACTCGGCATTTACAAAAAGCAAAAAAGCATTTACACTCGGCATGTGTAAACTCACAGATCGGTGTCGTCACTGGGGTCCTGCGGTCCGCTTCTGAACAGGCCTTGTCCAAAGGTGTACGCGAAAAATTGCGTCTCGTCTGTTTCATCCACTCCCTAAAATGTCCAAAGGGAGCATTTCGTCACCTCCTCGACGTGTCAACTCAACAATTTACACAACACAGCGCAGTAATTCCTATCCACCATAGCGTAATAATCACCCACGTTTGCGTCTTTGTCACTTAGCTGTTTAAAAAAAAGACGGTGACCCATCAGCTTTGGATTTATCCTCCCTTTTAATTTGCTCCCGTTCTCGTCCTCCTTACCTTTGAGTGATCCAGCACTGGATGGATGATTGCCGACGGATCATGATCAATCAGCTCCCGACTGGTTTTGGGCGACAGTTGACGGCGAGGCGGCGCCGACCAGGCACGCGATGACGCTCTCTGGGTGCGTCCTCTCTCCCGAGAAGAGTCCGAGGACAGGCTGGTCACCGACTGAGCCATGTCGCCCCCGGCCGGCTCGGCGGCGACGGCGCCGACGGCGGCGGCGGGGCGGGAGGGGGTGGCGGCGTCTGCACCGCCGCCGGCGACGGTGCGTGAGGAGGCAGCGTCGGTGGCGACGGTGGTGGCTGAGGGGGAGGGGGCGGAGGGGCCGGGGGCGGAGGACGCGGAGACGGTCGCTCCGGGAAGGTTGACCAGCAGCGAAGAGTCTGAACTGAGCCGCTGACGGTACTCGATCTCCGTGGACAGAGACCTCCGTCGTCTTGTCAGAACAGTATCCGAGTGTGCAAAACGCACCCGCTGGCGCGATCTCTGAAAACAAGACGCCTGTGAGACGTTATTACTGAATGCTGGTGCTGCACAAGAGCACAGAAAATTCGGCAAAATTGCTGCTCGCAATGTCATTGGCGCATATTGTTGTCTGCAGGCTAAATGAACGTAAAAAGTAAAGTTGAGAGAACCGTCTACATTTACCTCGGACTCTCGCCCTTGGACGGTTCCTGCGGAGAGCGCGCGTTCTTTATCGTTTCGTTGTTTCGCTCGATATGCATTCCAAGCCAAAAAAGAGGCGCCGAGAAAAAGTGAGACGCCGGCAGCGTGTTGAGGGGTCATGATACATGCGTAAAAAAGTAAGTAAACTAAAACAATGCTTTTACATCAATACAATTTGTCAATACGTGGGTAACTGACATTTGAAAGTAAACTCACCACAGCTGGCCGAATAAACATTCCACGTCGTTCCTGCCGCGCAATAAATGTAGCAAGTCGATTGCTGAAATAATGAGCGTCAGCACGCGCATTCCTTTCTTAGATGTTTCAATGTTGAAATTTGTCAGTATGCATGCCGATCAAAGGAACAGCAAACCGAGCAAACCCAACTTTTTTGATCGTATGAAAAATACCGTGAGTTCCCGAAAAAATAGGCGAATTTAACCTTTGCTTTTCCAGCCGGGAACGTATAAGAGGGGCCGGGGGGGGGTCCGTTGGACCCCCTGGGAAAAAGCGAGCGTGTTGCCCGTGACGAGAGGAAGCCGATGACACCCATTTTTAAGGTCCTAGGTCATTGGTTGACCTTCCAGGCCAGGTCAATGACCCAAAAGTCGGGAAAATCGGGACCTGTTAGAACGTCGTAAAGTATGGTTACTACTACGGCCTTGGTTACTATGGACTTTTCGGGGTGCTGATCACGAATATCATGTTAGTTTTGATAACAGACGATGTCTTCAAGCATTTAGGGCAGGTCGGGTCAGGTCAGATCAGGTCATCCAGTAGGGGTCCTGCCGGGTATTCGTAGTAGGTGTACCGCCTCTGACAGCTTCGTAACATGTTACGAAGGCACCAAAACAACTTCGTAAATGTTCATATGGTTGCTAAATTCGAATTCATGTCCAAAACTGGCCTAGAAACATGTAAAACTCGAAAAAGTGAACCGAGGTCATCAAAGGTCATTGACCTGACCTGAGCTTCAGGTGACCTTGACACCCACCCTAATTCATGGTGGCAACATCATATCACATATTTGAACGCTTGGAACCACGAAAAGACTGCAAAAGCGCGGCTAATGCGAGCAGACAAGCGCCGAATCGCGATTCCGGCCAAACATGGTCTCGGAAAAAAGGTAACAGGTCAGAGGTCATTTGGGTCAGGGTCATGAAATTTTCAGAGTAGGTGTAATATTGGTCAACTTGAGGGTACTGAAAGTTTCGTCGCGATCGGTCGCTTTTTACGCGAGTTATTCGCGAAAAACTGAGCGGGGTCCGTTCGACCCCCCCCCCCCCCCTATAGGGCATGGGTTCCTGTTTTTTTTTTTTTTTTACGAATAACATCGCAAACACCCAAAAAATAGACACATTGTAGCTGCATACAAATTAGTATTTATTAGCAAATTCATCTCGCAATGTTACGACATGACCTAAGGTCATTAGCGCTTAACAGTAACCAATTGCTCACAACAAAGTGTAATCGAGTGGCGTGCATAGGCGGCGGAACGGGGAGGGCACCGGGGCACCGTTCCCCTTTGATTTTGACATTTTAATATTAGCCCTATGAGCGTTGCATGGAAAGAATGGGATCAAAAGTCGGCAGTGCCCCCCCCCCCCCTTAATTGAAGGTGTTCCGCCGCCACTGGTGGCGAGTTCCATTCCCCAAACATAAAACAGAAATTATAAACTGCGTACGATTTGCATTACGTATACTGCCGCAGTCTGCGGCGCAGTCTATCTTTAGGCGTTTAGTCCTTTCGCCACCTAGCGGCCGAAACGTAAACGTCAATTTCGCTAGATGGTAGCATCAGCAGCATTTGCTAAGTGGCGGCGCTGCATCGCCGTTTTTAAATCGACGACGGACGACAGAAGAAATGAGTCAATCATGTTGATGAGGCATCTACATTCTCGCTAGCAACACTTTCCTGTCCCCGAGAAACCTTTGTGCTTTCCAGGTTGCATCCACTGTTGTCAGTTTCGAACTCCGCAACAGCCAGTCTCCATATCAAACAGCTCGGCACATTGCGCCAGACCATCCGGCCATGTTTGCATTGTCCTGTCTTGTCCCTTGCTACACCAACACTACCACCCGATCGTTGCACCATCTCACCAAACAAACCATGTCATCCAACTTGACTGTATTCAACTCTGCACTTTGACTCGCAGAAGCAAAACAGCACTGGACGGAGTCATTTCGTACTCGAGCAACAGCAATGGACGGAATGGCAGCCACAGCGACGTTGGTGGGATTGGGAAGAAAGGGACGACGTGGGACGGGACGGAAAGAATTGGAATACATGAAGACGGGACAAAACAGACGGAAGTAAGATGGATTATGACGAAACGGGACGGGACGACTTAGACGAGATGGGCTAGGAAGGGAAGGTTAGGACGGGATGCGACAACGGACAAGGGTAGGATGGGATTAGGACAAGACGGGACGGGTAGGACGGGTTAGGACAGGACGGACGGTATACAGCAAGGGCTGGCACAGGCGGGGGAGGCCTCGACCGTCCCCCTGCCCCGGGATCACAGACCCGGTACAGGGATCACAATCCCGGTACAGGGATCACACACCCGGTACAGTGCTTAGTGCGGACCAAGATAAGGACATGTGACCTGACTCGATGTCAAAATGGGATCGACCCTCTGTCCTGAAGTCAGGGATGCGCAGCCGTTTGAGGCTTTACGTAATCCCACACCGAACGGTGCTAATCGATCCTTTAACTTGGCATCGTGCAAGTTAACCGGATATCAGCACGTTGCCTATCTTTTTAGGCTTAGATGACAACAATGAACAAGTTAAACCGAGATAGACCAGTGTCCAGTGGTTCATTCCATACACACACTCTCGCAAGCTGGTATAAAAATACAAACGCGAAAAGTGGGGCGGAACGGCGGCCCGTGGGTTAACACACCACACACAGAGGTCCTGTGTTAATTCGACAGGAGAACGTATGGAACAGGGAATGGCGCAGACACAGCTAACGCAACTTGCGGGAGCGTGAGATCTCAATAATACGACACCGTGGTGCGTAATCAGTGCAGAATAATCACACGTGTATGATCTCCAAAGACTAGAAGTTAGCGTGTCACGATAAGTTCTAATGTGAGATTGCTTATAAGTCACACTGGTGAAAACAACAAGTTTTGCTGTCACACATATTGCAGAGTGCTGTTCTCCTTCAAGTCCGGAAGGACGGATACGTTTGTACTACTAAATTGTACAACAGCAGACAAAATTTGGGAAGCACGTAACATAGAAATATCGCAACTTGTGCCGATAAATGACAGCCGCACCAGCGAAGAAATGAGAAATGGTAAAGCACGAAACAATATATGGGTATTTACAATATTGACATGATAAAAATGACTAACATGGGTGACTGACTAGCGACGTTGCATGAATTGCCGTTCCCGGTGACAGGAGCGGAAAATGCACACCATTTTGTCGAGATTTCAGGTGTCCATGATTGCATGAGATCAAATAAAGTACTGCGTCCCGTAAATATTGCAGGCAAACTCGACATTGAATTATACATACATGATAAACACAAATTATGACCCTGAACGACGCAAATTACCTGGATTCGCCGCATAGTCACTTTCTCAGTAGTTCAATGGCATGTTTTTAGACCAAGCATAGCCTTCAGTTATACACACATTTCCTGCAGTCGGCACACTAGGTCTCTTTTATCTCATTTTCGGTTCAAAACCAGTCTTCAGCCCATGACCGCAGGCCGGGCCAGAGCGCCACCTCGCGACTAGAACCATATCACACTATTTCACAAATTACCGCCATCACAACTAGCGACCCGTGGTCACCGTTGCATGTGACTAGACTCTACCCCACTTCGAAGGCCAATACTGGAGGAATCATATCCTCTCATGGCGAGCAGCAGGCCAAGAAATCCCAGCCTCAGGTAGTTCGCACTCTCCTGACATAAGCCCACTCTCTCCCAAAGCACGTTCCGATATAGCTGCTCGTACTCTATCATCCAGCTCTCCCCTCCCGGGACGGACGCTACCTGGGAGGGTCTCCCCTGCTACTCCGGCTGGCCAGACGCGGCGGCCCGGAGCGCCTGCTGCGCCTGTAGGCTGACACTCAGGTGACCGGCCGGCTGGCCGTCGGCCGTACGGAGCGGCAGGCGATTCTGGTTTAGATCACGACCAGAGGATAGCACCTCGGGCAGACTGAGCTGCGCGTACCTGGGGGTACAGAGCACCGGTCAGAGAGGGTACACAGAACACAGAACAGTACAGTATGACAGACCCAGCTGAGCGTACCTGGGGTACCTATTCCCGATCAGAAAGAGTACATACTATACAGTGCTGGTTGGACACAGTACCGGTCAAACGGGTACACGGTACCGGCAGCATGAGCAGGTTCTGCCTCTTGGGTGTTCACAAGGAATCCACAGATAAGTTCCCAAATACTGACTACCCAGTGACAGTGAAGATCGGCCAATCAACTCCTCGCTTTAGCATGCATTATTCCTATAAAAAACCACCTCTCATCGAAAGCCTATATCTATGGCCAGTCCCCCCCCCCCCCCCCCGGGCCGGACCAGCACCCACCCGACATCAGCACACTCGGCCTCTTCATCCTCTGAGTCCTCTGGCTCTGCCACCACGGTGAACGTCATGACGTTCTGGTCGGTGGTGGCGGAGGCTGGCTCCAGCTGGGAGGTCAGCAGCCGGCGGCGGGCGCTCAGCTGGCGACCGGCCACCGGAATCACTGAGGAATAGCGGGGATGGGGGTTATTGTGGGACGGCAGGGTAGGTGACGGGTCACAACTGAACAGGGAAGGACGGATACGACCGTGACGGTCATTGCGGCACGCACAGGAGATTTGGTTATAAAGAATTGAATAGGAAAATTAGGCGTATAAATCCGCAACCAGAGATCGTAGGGCTCAGTTATCAAATGATGGCCGATAGAATTTCTATGTAGATACGGCATAAAAGCGGTTTCATTATCCAAACACAGGTCACGCAAAATACAAAAAGTGATATCTTTACTCCAATCTCCCACAAAATAATAGCTTCACCCACCAGCTTCACCCAACACTTGACAATATGAGACCCTAACCTGGCAAGCGTTTCCTCTCTGGCCCCACCTCCACCAATCTAGTAGCTTCCCTCGCGCTCACCCTTCCTGAAGTTGAAGACGAGCGGCTCTCCGGGCTCGGGCAGCGGTAGCGAGTGTGGCGACTCCAGCTGCTCGGGCGGCACATCCAGGAACCGGTACTCGACAAACAGCCGCGGTCGATCGCCCGGGGTACCGGTGGCAGTACTGGTACCGCGCCGGTACACCTCGGCGGATGGGGAGAGGGTGACCTCGTGTACGGTGATGGTGACCGCCTCTGACGCAGACGGCTGACCGGAGAGGGGCGATGTACACTCAGCGGGGCTTACAATGAACGGGGTTGCATTCAGTGCCACTCAGTGGTGGTTATACTCAATAAGGGGGGGGGGGGGGGTCACAACGGGTTTCATTCATTGGTGCGTCACCTAGCGAGGATTACATCCAACTGTGGGGCGGCACAGAGTTATACTTGAAACGGTGGCCGGAAGGGAAGCGGGGGTCACACCCGGGAACACATGCATTTAGTAAATGTCTAATGGGAAACTTACACACAAATTACCTCGTGACGGTTAAAAAAAATGGTTACGATGGTCTCGATACCAGAGTCTTAACAGAGATAGCTACTACATAACTTACATGACAAACAATTGGTTACCCCGCCACAGAGACTCTGCATCTTCCCCGGTCGCTCCACCCCTCTCGCCCCCTTCCCGTCGTACCGTCTCGGCCGCCGCCCGGTGCAGCACCACGCCGTCGCTGTCGGTACCGGTCCCCGTCGAGGGCGTCACGGAGCTCTCCGAGCCACGCCGATGGACATCGGCCGCCACCCGCATCCCTCCTCCGGCCGCCACCACCGTCCTCTCCTGGGAGCGGTCCGAGTCCGACCCTCCTCCTCCTCCCCAGGCTCCCGGAGAGGAGGGTGAACTGCCACCAGCCCGCTCCCTCCGCCGGGGCCGCGGGTGGTCGGGGGAGGGCGGCGAGCGACCGGCGGTCAGCGGAGACCGATCGGGAGCCCCCGGGCCGTCAGCGGCTGAGGAAAGGGAGCTGCCGCCGCCGCTCTGTGGACCGCCGGCCGAGCCGCCGCTGTCCGAGGAGCCGCCCACTGCAGGCGCGGAGAGGGGAGGGGGAGGTCAGAGACGGCGGGAGAGAAACGGAATGGCGGCGAGTCTGGAGAAAGGGAATGACGGAGTACGCTGAAAAAACAATACACAGCTCTTCATTTTAAAATAAGTAAGTGGTGATCAATAAACGAGAATATATAACATAATCTAAGGCACATATAACAGTAGTCCCACTGTTATCCGTGTCTAAGAGAATACAAAAACGTCTACCTGAAATGCCCAAGTGACTGATGTTTAGTACCAATTGTTCTCAATGAAATATTCCAAGCCGGGCTATCGGCAATACACATTACAAAGCATAAACATATCGCACAGTTATAGCGGTACACAGCCCGCACCGAAAACAACCTAACAAGATTTGGCTTAGCACATTATTAAAAGCCTACCTTTCAGCGTTGTGCCACGAGTCAGCTGTTGTTTCTCGGGACGTTTCTGTTGTCGTTTCTCGGGCTGTGGCTGCTGCCGCTGCTGCTGTGGCTCTCGTTCGGCCCGGTCCTGGCCCCGTTTTTCCTCCCGTTCGGCCCGGTCCTGGCCCCGCTGCTCGCGCCGTGGCGGCGTCTCGGGCCTCCCCAGCTCCTCCAGACTACTCGCCTCGCTCGCGGAGGACTCAGTGTACGTCGCGTAGCCAGTGGAGCGCGGTGGCGGCCGCGGCGCCTGCTGCGGCCCCCGCTGGGCCTCCTCAGCCTCCGACGGGCGGGCCGGGCCCGACTGTATCACCCGGGCCCCCACCGGCCGGGGCTCCGCGGACGGTCTGGTCTGGCCCGAAACGCGAGGTTCTTTGACGTCCCGAGTTGGCACCTGATGGTCCGTCTCTGCTCTGATAGACCGCCGGCGATCTGTCTCTCTAACAGATTGCCGACGATCTGTCTCCCTGACCGTCCCGACGTCTCTGTCCCGATGTCCGATGTCCGATGTGATGTCCCGACGCTCTGTCTCTCTAAAAGATTTTCGACGCTCTATGCTGTCTGTAACAGACTCTCGACGATGTGTGTCTCCCCTGACTGACTCTCGACGTTGTGCTTCTCTGACTGACTGCCGACGCTCAGCATGCCCTCTGACGGACTCTCGACGTCCCACCACGCCACCAGACTCCCTCCTCTCCTTCCTGGACGGGCGTCGTGGCGTCTCCGTCTCCTCCCTCACGTCACTCTCTCGCCGCCGCTGCTGTCCCCTGCTCTGGGCTGGGGCGGCACGACGCGGCGGCGACGCATCCCCGCCGCCCCCGCCGCCGCCGCGGGCGGCAGGCTGGCGTCGGGCGGCCGGCCGCGGAGGCACCCGACCCATATCGGCCTCACTGCGGGCCCGGCTGGCAGGTGGTCCGCGTGGGGTGCGCTCCGGGCTATACTCATACTCTGTGACCTCTGTGTCAGAAGCAGTCACGACGCGAGGGGACGGCCGCTTCGACCGTCGGCCCCCTCCACCAGGCGGGGCCAGCAGGGCGGGGTCGGCGCGAGTGGCCAGCCGCCGCCGGACGGGGGTGGACACCGCCGCGGGTCCTTTGCCCTGCTTCACCGCCGCCGAGGGCTCACAGATATCCGGTGAACCGGCCATGATGGTCTGGTCGCCAGCTCCGGAGTCCGCTCTATCCTCTGCGCTCCGTTCCAGTCCTCTCTCCATCCCATCTCCCCGCGTTTGTAGGTAGTGTTCCAGCGCGCCCCCGTCAGAGCGAAACCAGTAGGCCAGTGTACCGAGGCCGTCGACCTCAGCCGTCCCGTGCAGACGGTTACGGGGATACTCGAGCAGTTCCCGGCAGCTGATGGTCGTCGAGCCGAGCTGGTGGCACTCGGAGCCACCTTCTGTACCCTGAACTTCAATCGTCACTAAGTCCTGGCTCAGGTAATGGATTAGCGCAGAGTCCAACAACACCTTGTACAGCGACGAGCAGGCGAAGCGCAGCTCCGATCCGCCGCGGTCAGCGTGTACTACAGGTGTGAAGTGCATATCCTGGTTGTAGAATATCCATGTGAGGAAGACGCCTTCGTGTCCGACCCGGGCGCGGCCGGCGACATCCAGAGCCAGTCTCTCCACGTGTAGTTCCAACAGGCAGGTACCCGGTTCCAGCTGCATGGAAGCGTCCAGCGGCGCCAGCCGCGGCGGCCCCGGCTGACCGGGCGCGCGGTACGCCAGCTCGCGGAGACGGGTCTCCAACTGGAGAACTCTCCCGGTGCGTGCCTGCAGAGCGGCACGCAGCTCGGCCTCGGCCCGCTCTCGCTCAGCTCCCAGCTCCTTCACCCGGGTGCTGAGCAGCGCCAGCTCCTGGCGCTGGCCGGCGTTGATCTGTTTCTGGACGTCGAGCAGCGTGCGCGCCTTCTCGAGCTCCTGAGCCGTCTCCACATAGCGGCAGTGGAGCGCGGCCAGCTGGCGCGGCAGCGGTTCGCCCGTGTCGATTCGGCTGAGCAGTTCTGCAGTCGGGGTGTCGGGCGGAGCCGGAGGGGGAGACGACTCCGGCTCCGGCTCCGGCTGCGGCTCCCGCTCCGGATCCGGCAGGGGAGAGGTGCACACCGCCTGCGGAGGTGGAAAATGGTGAGACACCAAATTATAGAGCAGAGACTGAACAGATTGGTCACGAGAATGGGAAGGAACGTATAGCACACGTTTCGGAGGGAAAAGTATGATACAGTTATCAATATTATCGCCCAATAACTTGCAAGGAAAGCCGATAATCAATGCTGAAGCTTTTACAGAAGTTCGACAGGCAGCGGGCGGGGACCCACCTTATCACGTGTCTCCGGCCTGGGCGGTGCCGGCAGCTCCGCCGTCAGAGCTCGAGAGGGTACCGGCGGAGGCACCGGCTGCATCGTCATGGCCCGCAGTAGCTGGGTCTGCAGGTCGCGAGCCTCCGCCTGCAGCCGCCAGGAGCGCTGCTGTTCGGCCGTCAGCTGATCGGACAGCTGACGGCGCCGCGCCTGCTCCGCGCGCAGGCTCGACTCCGAGCTGGACAACTGAGAAAGGACGGTCACAGCCGCATAAATGTAGGAAGCAGGGGTGCAGTGGGTGCAGCTGCAACCACAATAAGCTTCCAATGGGTGCAGGCAGTGTATTCTGCACCCACACTAGCCTGGTACAAAAGTCCCTTTTCACATCAACACTACCTACCTCCTATGCAGTATGCAGTTTGACGAATGCAGGATATTTTGCCCTCTATCCATCTTTCGAAGCATTTGCTACCCTGATGGTCTTCAAAATGTTTGTGATCAGGTAAAAAACACAAACAAAACACATGTGACAGGACTGAGGAGTGAGGACACACACTCATGACCCACTCTAGACAATTTTAGCCCGATGTCTTCAAAAATGGCCAAGGCAACTGCTTCTTTTGCGTGAATTATTGACATAAGCAATACTTCAAAACGCAATTTTCAGTAGGTACCTTTTCGACATCGTACGCCCCCTCGATGATCGCAATAAGCCTCCCCCTGAAACCGTTTTCTGATATCAGTGGCGATCCATACCAAAGTCGAGAGAGAACACGATACCCGGTGCCGCTCCTCCAGCCCCCCACTCCACCGGCTATGGCTGGATTTTTGCACCCATGCACCTACAATGTTCCAGCCGTTCCTACGCCCATGCTTCTAAGTTGGGTGGTTTGGGTATAACTAAATGCCCAGAACACATGGATGCAGATTGCAGATAGCTCCAATTATTACTTATCATCTAAATTTGAGGGTAAAAAAACTTACAGGGAAGTCGCTGTATCATTTTTTTTCTTTCACCAAAAACACTTAAATGCTGCTATAGAATGAATTGGAGCTGAATCGATATGCAGTCCAAAACTACATCTGCATGTTAAATACTGCGGTGTAGGTATGTCATTGCTTAGACAGCGTTGTCAACCAGCGCGGCACTGACCGACCGACGCTGTATATACGTGTACACTGTGACCGACGCTGTGTTCAGACAGTGATAAGATAGGCCGGACGTTTCGGCAGCAGTGGTGCAAACAGTCTGATCTCGGGTCTTGTTACATCTGCTGACATAAACAAAGTTTGACGTGCGTGAGATTAAAATATCACAAAATACACGGGAATCGTAATTTTTCAGCATTACCCAATGCAAACACAGCGAGCTAGAATTAGATATGAAAGAGTGTTGGGTCACAGACTGCGTGTGGCCACAATGACTCGAAATGTGCACCTCTTTTCGATAGTTCCGGAACAAGGGTCTGGCCGACGGGCGCGGCGCGGTTGAGTCGTGTGCCACCGCAGGTGTGAAGAGGGACAGTGTCGTGCGAAGCAGAAACTTGTAACAAATACAAGCACTCAACATTGAGCAAGCAGCAGTGCCAGGTAGAAGAAGACATGCGCGGCCAAGCGGACAGGGTATCGTGGTGCATTGCCATCTTAACCTGATCAGCACTGAAACTGGTTTGTGTTAACCAGTGGCATCGATGACAAGATAAACAACGAAACGGGAGTGAATCTTGTCACAACGAAGGAGCAGCTGCTAGATGATCTTCTATATATAGAGCGGAACATCAATAACGAAAACCAGGATGCAACTGCAATGAACGTCGAAGCCTTTTACCGTGAACAAACAGTCGTGAGCGTCTTGCAAGAAAAAGGCCGTAGAAACTTGGCGGGACTTTGAACAACCATGTCCAGACGACGTCAGCCTACAGCGGAGGGGACCGGGCAGACACCTGCACCGCTGAGAGACCCTCGCACCATTCAGTTTTTGCAGGCGTGTGGAGAGCACATCGGCCTTGCTGTGGAACATTTTGTCAAAGCGAACCTTGATTATGATGTAGGCTACAAAATATTGAGGCTAAAAACAGAACAACTATCAAATATACTTCTCTGTTCACAATATCAACCGTTACAGCGAGTACTAATGGAGCGTCATGCAACCTGCCAATGTTCTCCATTCAACTCCATGGAAATTATGAACCGTGTCACTTCTGGTAGTGCAGCGGAAGGACTTGCTACTCCTCCACGACCGCCGTACAGACAAACGACATCAGACGCGGACGTCATGTACGAGCTGGGTCCTGTGGACTGGTTGTTTCCCAATGCTGAGATGTCAGGTGCGACGGTGAGCACTCCTTCTGTACCCGCGCCAATCCCCGATAAAGGAAGCAAGAGCGGCGACCCGCGGCCGCAGCATCAGCTGATGATCACTGAGACTGAGAACCCCGGCTTCGTCCTGCTCCTACAGGAGCGGAGAAGTGACTGCTCTCACAAAGAGAGGCTGCCGTTCAAGGCGGAAGAGGTCTCCAAGTTTTTCTCTGAATACACACTCCTCACTTCGGCAGAGGACATCACGAGCCGCAGCGCCAATGGGCCAGCCTGTTCCTATTCCATGCAAGGAGATGAACCATTCTTCATAAGGGATCGAGATGACGTGCCCTGTCTGCATGTGCCGGTGTGGTGCATCTCAGATGAGTTTTTCACTCGTCACCGCCAGTACAACTGGCCACCAGAGGATGTGATGGAAAATATCAGGCAATTTGGCCTTCATCTGGTTCCGGTAGGTGCCCCAGGAAGCAAAACGGAAACGATCGAGTGGAGACTATCCTTTTCCAGGGCAGAACTCTTGATCGTGTGTCTCCTGAAGGGCATTCAGCGAATCGCAGCTATTGCCTTCAAGATGTGCAAGACGGCCCTCGGTGAAGAGGGCAAGACGCTCAAGTCATACTACGTGAAAACAGCGCTGCTGTGGCTTTGTGAACAGGGCGAGGAATGGACGAGCGTTCACCAGGGCATTCTGAAGTTGGTAGACTTCCTGGATGAAGCTGTTAGGAAGGGCAACCTCCCGTGCTTCTTCTGGAGCAAAATCAACTTGCTTCGATTCACCAAGCACGCCGAAAGAAAGGCTATGAAGAAAACGCTCGGAATCATCAAGAAGTGCTTCATGAAGCTTATCACTCACGAGATGTGTGTTTTCCATCCAGAGCTACCTATGATAGTGGCGGCCGAAGTAAAAAGAGGGAAGCCTCTAACCGAGCGCCAGGTTCGTACCTGTCTGGCTCGCCACCACATCATTGTGTGCGAGACAGACAGCATACGAATGTACATTACGATGACGACCGCGCAAAGCCTGAACAGGCTTTTCCCTGTGCTGCTGCGGTCCTTTTCACCAGCTGAAGTGACTCGCCTCTTCAGAAGATTAGCGCACTGGCGCGTGATGCAGAATGCCCTGTTTCACGCTTTTCTTTTGGCGCCAGATGACGTAGCTTCCCAGGTTGGGCTTACTTCCAGCCAAGACGGCGGGTTCGTCCTGGACGCGGCCCCGCTGCTGGCTCTTCTCACCGAAAACGATCTGAGGGTGGCGCTGGGAGATCCCAGGGAAGCACGGTCTTGGCTGAAGCGTCAGCAGCGGCTGCCCGAGGCGCAGCGACCGGCGGCAGCGCCTGCCGACCTGACGTCACCAAGGGATCTCTGTGACTTACTGCTGAACACCCCGCTGCTGTGCCGGGCGCTCAGGGAAAGTGTTCCCTCATTTTGGGACATTCAAGAGAGGAGTGAAAAGGAGAATCCCATGTCTTTGAAGTCGTTTCTTCCGCCTCAAATGATGCTATGCGGAGCTGCGATGATGGCCAACTACAAACTTCTGACGCTATATTGGGAGCTCCAAACGAAGTTGGGCATGGACCGTCAGGAAGCTGGAGAAACTTTCTGCAGGGTCGCACAGGAGATGGAAAAGACGAGAGACAACCCCGAGGTAGTCGCTCAGCTCCAGAGGATCTATCGCTCTTTCCCAGACTAGTTACTGGAATCTGTGGCACTTCGTACTTGCTCGAATCTAGCTGAAGGCAAGCCTGATAGCAAGAACGGTCTCGATATGCAAAAAGCATGATGGAAAATCAAATGCATGGATGTGTGTTTGGTGTTTTTTTTTCTCAGTGTGATTATCTGCACTTGAATATAGTCATGGTAGAATGTGAGTTGACATGCGACCTCGGTTGCAGTTGGCCTCTCGAGTCACGGTTACCAGACTGCATCATCATTCTACCGTGTCGCATTCCGAATCAACTCTAAGCTACGTTCTGTGCGAAATTTACCAGTGTGAGCTGTATAGTTTTAGGGTATCGGTTGAAGCATGTTGCACTTGATATAATTGCTCGTCGTGCAAGTGTTCGCAAGCACACGTTTTTTTCCGAATACGATGTTTATGTGCATTGTGCAGTTGCGTTATACAATGATTTGAATTTTGAGTCCTTCGTTAGCCTGTCGTATATGACCGCCTCTTATTCTGCGTACGCAGGTTTGAGCTGCTCTGTTACACGTACTTGTCAATGGAACAGTGATCTGCATCGACGTTATTATAGTGACTGTTCGTGTGATTCGTGGTTGTTCACTCTGACCCAGCACGGCAGACCAAAGTGTTCGTGCAATCGTCCAGTTCACTAAGAATTGCGTAGCTGATCGTGTCGTTTCATTAACCGGAGGACCAAAAGAGTTCTTAGATGAATGTCTATTTCTGGATTACTCGTCACACGCTGCACGTCAATCGAATCGTACGACGCCGGCGCCGTTGCGCCGGCGGAGCCGCGACGTCGTCGTCGTTTCGCCGCGAACTGCCGAGCCGGCCGGCGGCGGCCGGCCCGGCGCGTTGGGGCCGGTCAGCACACATGTGCTCCAGATGACCCCCCAGGCCCTGCAGAGGACCACGTGGACGGCGGGGCTCGGTCGTGCCCGCCGCGCGCTGCCGTCGCTGTGCGGCACGGTACGTTTTCTCTCGAACAGTGATAGTAAGGTAACGCTAGCGGTTAGTAATTAGGTTAGTGGTACGATTAGTGGTAGCAAGGTGAAGACAGGTAATGTGCACTATGCTTGGACTGGTCGTGGAGTGTTAACCAACAACGGGACGATGTGGACTATCAATCCTGGGCTGAATTTGTCACGCTGGAGTAAACACACACCCGTGATATCCATGAAGCAGTTATAAAACTGTACCTTTCTTGAGAGAATTTGTGAGAATAGATACACATATGTGCTATGGATCTGCTTTTTGCAAACGTGTTGATCTGAAGTCTTATCCATTATGATCGCCCACAGGCGGGCTGGTAACAGAGACTTATCTGTCAGCTATGGACTAACTAGTCGCCAGCTAACTATGTAGTTCAAGGCTAAGCCGATCCTTTTAGTTATGTTGGGTTAGACTTTCGGTTTAACGAGACCATTTCAGAGCTGGAAGAATGATAGGAGGTAGAAGGAGACATTGGTCTGGGCGGGCACCCTGGTAACCTGTCGGGTCTGAGCCCATCACGTGGACAGGCCACCCAGCCCCTTACAGCCACTGCACCCGGCTACGGGCCTGCTCCTAAGCGAGCTACCCGCATGGGATGAAGTTCCCCGTACAGCCCGGAACAGGAGTTTGAGCCGTGTGGTTAAATGAACGCCTTGAGGATGGAATCGACGGAACGGAAGGACCGATCCATGAACAAAGACGAATGAGTAGCGTGCAGGTACCCAAGCAAATTCAAACCCCTCCAATGGCACCTCGGGGCGTATTTGCTGTAAACTGCATCAAGTCCATGCCAGAGTCACACCCCCGAGCCCTCAGCCGTCCCACTCTTACGCCCTCAACTAGCCGCCTCTGTCAGCGTCCCACCTGACGTCCCCCTCAGCCGTCCCTGTCAGCGCGCGGTGCGTGCAAACCAGCACCCTCAGCAGCCGTCCCCTCGGCGTTCCACCTCTGCGTCCTCAGGCAGCTGCCTCTGTCAGCACGTGCTAAGTACGAACCTGCGCCCTCAGCTGGGCCACGTCGGCCTGCTGCTCCCGTTGCTGCCAGCCGACGTCCGAGCCGATCTCGGAGAGCTTCTCGTTGGCCGCTCGCAGGAGCTCGTTCTCACGCTGTGTGGCGTAGAGGGAGAGCCAGATGAATGTCAGAGCACTAAACAGGTATACCTTCCTGAGGAAGGGGCGTTGGGAGAGATGAGACACAGCCTGAACTCTGAAGGCATTCCCACTGCAAGGTGATGACTGTTGAGTCGGTTCTCTCAGAGTGAAAAGATGATACATATTCGCAAATTCAATCTCCGATTCATTTACGAGGAGAAAAAGTTTCGTAAATTCAATCTCCGAGAAACCGAAGTGACATCTCACAATAAACGGTCCTGTGTTTTCATTTCAATGCCCTCCCGCTATACGGTCCTGTGTTTTCATTTCAATACCCTCCCGCTGTCCTTCCTCCCACCTCCCTTTCCTCACATCGACAAGTTCGCCTCACCTGCGCATCCCTGAGCGCCATCTCGACTTCTTCCAGTTTTTGTTTGGCCAGCGTGGCGGCCGAGGCGTCTCGTTGCAGCTGCTGCACGCGCGCCTGCTCCTCGTCGTAGAGACGCTTCAGCTCCACTGCAGACGGAGAGATACCGGAAAAGATAGGGATATATTCGGGGACCTCTAATGGCACCTGTCCGTGCTTCTATCCTCAGGATATTGAAATCCTTTTCCTCCACGCCACAACCCCCTTCCGGGCTGGGCAGGCAACTTTATCTCATGCGGGCTGCTCCCTTGGAGCGGCACCGCTGCTCCCGAGGGAGCGCACCCCGTAGCCGGGTGCAGTGAGTGCCTTGGGGCTGGGTGGCCTGTCCTCTGGACGGGCTCAGCCCCGGCGACTCACTAGGTTGCCTGCCCAGACCAATGTCTCCCCCTAATTCCTATCATCCTTCCGGCTCTGCAATGGTCTTGTCGACCGAAAGGGCCTAACCCAACAAAACAAAAACAAACAATCTAATGGCACATACCATATGCAGCATCGAACGAAGCTGATGTAAAACAAGCATTGACACCTCATTCCCTAGGCACACACCTTCCTCGGCAGTCCTTCCCCCCATCGCCCAGCCATCGCTCTGCTTACCCATTTCGCGCGAGGCCCGCTCGTAGGCGGGCCGCTCGGTGCGTAGCGTCTCCTCCAATGAGTTGGCGTGAGTTTGCAGGGCCGCCAGCCGGCTGGTCGTCTGTTTGAGCTCACGCTGTAGCTTTATCATCTCGACGTTCTCGGCTAGCTTGGTGCGGTTGGCTGTTGGTGTCACGGACAAGCGCGGAGTCAGTGTGTTGTGGCCGGGAGTCAACAATGAGAGATGCTGGTACACAGTGTAGACTGATGGATACTTAGATGATGGGTAGAGTTCAGGCATAGAGATGTAAAGACTAAAGAGCATGCTTGACGTTGGACAGCTTAACACACGGTATTGAGGGAGTGTATTCCCAGCGAGGCAAACATCCATCTAGCACGATAAAGAATCCCTCAGTTAACACAAGCCTGCCAATGTGCAGCCGGGTACAATCCGGTCACCCTGACCTCAGACGCTTCTCTATCAATCAGACCGCATTCTGACACTCAGCCGCAAATACTCTGTCGTTCCTGCCGCACAGCTCAGGGGGAAGTCTGCCGCGATGGCGTGTACCTGAGAAATGATTAGCGCACTTGTGCACTTACCCTGGTTGGCCTGTCCTCTGAGGGTCTGCAGCTCCTCCTCGTGCTCCAGATCCTTGACACGACTCTGTTCCTTCAGCATCTCCAGCTCCTGATGTCAGAGCAGGAGACGGGAGTCAGCAGAAGCACCAGGGAGATCCAACCCGCCGCTCGAAACAGGCGAGTTCTCGCCGCCATCAGGGGCTGTAGCTCAAGTGGTAGAGCGCTCGCTTAGCATGTGAGAGGTACGGGGATCGATACCCCGCAGCTCCAACCGTTTTAAATTATTCACAGGACCACCGAAATCGTTCAGCCGAGCATGCAGGAGTAAGACACTCGCTTATTGACATAAACACCAATGATTGCTCACGATTTCGATAAGAAAAACGAGACCGATTTGGATAAATAAGACGATACAAGCGGGAGCGGCCTTCATTCAAAACTAAAAAGACGCAGCCACATAAATAATCATAGTCAAGGCAAGGAGCCTAACACATCGGTCAAAATCGGCGATCGCATCCCCATCTGGAGTAACGAGCTGAGGCCCAATTTACAGCGATGAGGATGCCCAAGTGCATCACCAAAACACATCACCAAAAGCTGCGGATGATCTTTGATGACAAACCCACCTGTGACTGAAACTCACCTGTTCGTACATGTTGCACTGTTCACGCAGTGTCGAGAATGTCTCGTCCAGCTCGCGATTCCGCTGGGCCAGGGCAGCTGACTGTTGCTGCAGCCGGGCAGCTGCCTCGCGCGCCTCGACCAGCAGCTGCTCGGCGTACGGCGGCAGCTGCTGGTCGACAGAGCCGGCCGGCTGCCGCCGCTGCGAGCCGCTGCCGGGACAGGGAGTGGGGAGAGTGAGAGAAGGTGTCATCAGAGGGAGCCGGGAGGGTGGGAGAGGGGGTGTCCGGGGGAGCCAGCAAGGATGGCCATAAGATATAGCAGATGACAGTAGCAGTTCAGCCGGCAACCATGAATGCATGGCATGACTCTCATGACGGGAATATTCGTAAGAGCGCCTGTCGCGACTCGCGAGATCCTTGTAACAAACCACTAATTGGTGCAAGTTGCAGATATCAGCCAAAATAAAAATGATAATATATATTGCGTGGGGATAGTCTTTGGTATATCACATCAAATTTTGACACATCATGTAGTATGTACGGTGATATCGGTAAAACGGACGCTGCCTGCCGCAACAACCGCGGCTCACGACGGCAAACATTTGGAGCTGCGGGGTATCGATCCCCGTACCTCTCACATGCTAAGCGAGCGCTCTACCACTTGAGCTACAGCCCCGAATAAGAATTACAGGCACGCAAGATGTCCTGAACCAACGGACAGTGATTTGCTGTAACGAAACCACCATGGCCTTGGAGCATTGTCACAGAGACAGTGCATGGCACTGTTAACACAATCTAACATTTAAACAGTTATTTAATACGTCATTGTAATTTGCAACCCTAAAACGCATCGCCAAATCGGTGACAGCGTCGGCACTCTCACATATTACAGTCCGTAACATAACATCGTGAGTCATAAGTAAACGCATGAAACACTCGCGAAGGCCCTCACATCTCACGGATCCACCCGCTTCGACCGGCTAGTCTCGTAGCTAAGGTTACCGCCCATCCCTGCGGCCAAGAACGCACCTGGTCTTGGAGCTGGGTCGGGACGAGGGTCGCCGTAGTGTGTCCGCCTTGGGTGCCAGCGGTCGGCCCGGTCTGCTGCCCTGGCTGGTGGTGACCTGCTGACGCGCCACCAGCAGCTTGTCCTGTACAGGGTGTAACGAAATTATCCGGACATCTATTTTTTCGCCATATCTGCTCGCACAGTTTCTCTTTTAATGTCAGAAGCTGGAAAATTGGATGAATGCATACCTCTGGTATCTGCTCTCAACTCAGCAGTGACCTGACCTTGCGAAATGACTCTTGCTCTGAGTAAGAATCGAGTCGCCGACGGGTTCATTTGATAGTTTTCGTTTAAGGCAGTGGAGAGAAAGGAGTACAGTCTCTCGTTTCGTAGTAAGGCTACGTGTTGGTGGCATGGTGGCATGAGCCAGACGCTGGTCTGTCAGCAGCTGGACATCAGCAGCAGCCAGTAGGACATCTGCCTGAGGCGTAATAAGCTGGGACTTGGTGGCAGACTCAGCCCGGCCTCGATCGCAAAAGGCGCCCTTTGCCAAGTGGTGAGGAGAGTTGTCAAGATAGCGACAAGGAAACGGCACCAATTAATCCGCATACTGACTCGAATTCTTACCAAGGCAGATAATAAGAGGTCCCACATCATGATTCACCGTTACCCGCCCTTTAGCTTGGTTTTACTGCCCTTCAAACTGGAAAAGACAATGAAATTGACGGGAAAACAACCAGTCCACCATATTTGGCTTCAGGCCAGGGCGTGTCCACTGGTCGAAGGAAGACACGAATGAGGTGACCTGGTCGGATGGGAAGCTGTTCGAGCTGCGATACCCGTTGAACCGTCAAATCGGCCATGTGTGGGCTGCCAGCAGCTCGAATGTGCCGGCCGTCGCCGGCGTCAAACATCCGGCCAAAATCCAGACCTGGAGCATGTTCAGCTGCTGTGTAATATTAAAGCTGTTCATGACGACACAGAAAACCACTATCAGTGACGAGTATTACCGGCGCAACATCCTGGCTAGCGATTGGTTGGAGCCACTCAACCAGACGGCACAGGATGGCTCGGTTTCTGAACGTGTACCGATGCCTGATTCAAGCCGCGCAGTCTTCATACGGGGCGGCGCACCACCTTCAAGTCCCTAGCAGAATGAGAAGTGATGCCGAGAGGACCTTTTTGTTCTTCAGGGCTAAAGGGCTATGGCTTGGAAATAGTTCCCATGCAATTCCATCGATATATTATGGACTATTGTCCATCAGGAGATGAATGAGGGGACACCCACCACCAGCGCCGCCCAACTGCGGGCACAGGTTAGTAAGGCGCTACTCTATATGAAACCCACTGTGCTGGAAAATCCAGTGGCTGGAATGCTCCAAAAATGTGTACCTGCGCCCATATGAAAGGTGGCTATATAATAATTCAAAAGGGAAAATATCAGAATGTCTTGCTTCTTAATTACAGCGCGAAGAAAGATGTCCGGATAATTTCGTTACACCCTGTATGTCAGAGACTGGGGTCAGTGGGGGAGACAGAGGTTCATCGGCGGGGAGGAGTGGGGCGGCCAGCGGCCGGTGGGGATAGAAAAAAACGGCCTCAGACCACATCATGACATCACCATAAAGATATCGGAATCAGGGCCACGGAGTCGGAATGGAAGTTGATCGGAGTAGACAATTCTGTTGTCACTTCTGCCCGTAGTCGGAGTTGATTTTTGGAAGCCAGAGCCCGAGTCGGAGTCACCGAAAATCATCGACTCCGCAGCGATGCTCAGAATTGAACGCAGCATTTATTTGTCATCGCCCAAAATCGTTTAAAGGAGATAATTCACTTTTAACACGGAGTTAACTGGAATAGCAGTTTATAGCTTGAGCTGAGACCTGCACAAATCAGCTTAAGCTTTTATGGCCCAACGATGACCCTATGCAAAGATATTTCATTTATATGTGAAGTGAACTATTCCCTTTAACTAAATGCGGCTCCTTTGGTTTTTCTTATCTCCGATGCACACATCGAACGGCGATCGGCGATCGTCAACTGGAATGCAAACAGCTCGTCTCCAACACGTCTTAGGCTGTACCGGATACCCCTCACCAGCTCTGTTCCCTGCTTCCACCCTGTCCTATCCTACGAGCCCGCTGTGTTCCCTGTGCTGTATATTCTGAGTAAATCGATCCCCTCCCCTCCCGTGGCTCCACCGCACCGCCTACCTTGAGCTGTGTGATCTGCCGCCCCATCTGCCGGATCTGGTCCTGCTGGGACTGAATCAGCTCGGCCGTCTCCGGGTCGCGCTGCACGCCGGCCGCCTCACCCGACTTCTTGCGGTCCTGTACCAGCCGCAGCAGTTTGGTGGCCAGCCTGTGGTGATGACAAATGTCATTGGTGCACTACAATGGCTGGCTTTGGGTGCAGCTATGGATGTTAATACTTTGTGTACATAATGAAACAATCTGTTGCATTGAATCACATGTTCATTGATGGACTAGGCATGTTAAACTAAAAGGCATACCTATGTATCAGAGGTTCAAATGAAAGGCATTAAATTATAAATAGCAAATTGTGATTTCATATTTTTTAATCAAGGGGAAAAGATACCTTTTGATTTTGTCCTCCTGTTTGTGGCAGTGTTTCTTGAGGATCTGGTTCTCCTCCAGCAGCCGCAGGTGCCGGTCCTCCAGCTCCTCCCGCGAAAGCTTGGAGATGCCAGCCCGCTCCTGCACCAGCGATGAGTCTGTGGGACGGAGCAGGGCATGCAATGCCTTCAAACATGGCAGAGGTGTAGCAGCAGCTTGTTGTAAGGGGTTGGATGGCAGGATCTTTTTAATTGTCAATCACAATTACATAACATTTTGTGTGGATAGTCAACAGAGGATACATTTGAACAAGTAGCCAAGAACAATTATGAGCCCATTGCTCATTTTCACTTATACCTTTGTCATGATACAAGCCTCGGGTGTGCTTATCCTTCTCTGACATGTCTTTCACTGGTATCATGTCATTTTCATCTCCATCCATCTCACAAGGCTAATTACTTAGCCCTTCCCTTCATTAGCAGCTCATGAGCAGTTGTATCTTGATCTTGATGTGTTTCATTCAAATCTTGAATGTCAATGTGAATGTGCAAAAATCCACATTTCACTGAAACACAGAATCTGTCTCATCAGCTTGTCTGGGGGCTATGCAGGAAGGTAAGGTTGAGGCCATCAACCTTCCTGCAACACCCTCAACTTGAGGGCATTGAGGCACAATCAGGCAATAAAGCTGTCATAAGAAACAGCTAGGTAATGCCCAAGCTATATTATGCAATTTTCCGTGCAATTTTGTGATAATGCAATAATGTGATGCCCTTGGTGATGCTCGAAATTGCTTATTCAGTGCAAACGGATGTGCTGAGCCACTCCACTGAAATATAACATTATTCCAAGCCATGACGCATAAATCACAATATCGCAAAATCGCACAGAAGAATCACGTAGTAGAGCCTAGGCTTAAGAGTTAAAACACAAGTGACCTCAACCTATAACAATAAAGTCACTCTCAAGCTATTGCATTGTATTGTATTTACATTTAAGAGCGATCCACATACAAAGTGCATAGCGATTACTAGCCAAACTCCAAATTCCGCCTCACCTAAAGAATAACTCAACATACTTTACTGCAACTAGGTACCGTAAAGTGGGGCTATTTGAGACAGTGGGGCTCTTTGAGACAGTATTTAAAATTGCTATAAAATAAGAACCATTTGAAATTTATGCTCAATTTTTGGCCAGGCGATTTACTGCTCGATTCCACACATCCCTGAAGAAAAACATCACAAAAGAATCAAACGATCTTCATTTTATAGCGATTTCAAATACTGTCTCAAATAGCCGCACTTTACGGTACCATCTTTTTTCATTCCTCAGTTAAGTTATTATGACATAAATCATATATACATATAGCACGTGAGAAATATCTGAAAATGCGACCCAAAAACGACCTATGGGCCTGTTCCAGCGCCTCCAGAAACCTCCAGAAAGCTCCAGAAAGCTCTAGAATTCTCCAGAGAGCGTTCCAGCGCCTCCAGAAAGCTCCAGAAAGCTCTCGCCAAAGCTCCAGAAACCTCCAGTAGCCTCCAGAGAGTTGAGAGGTCCAAATTTCTCTGGAGGCTCTGGTCTACAATTATGGCGCACATGTGACAATCACGAATGTAAACAAAGGACATTTGACTGATAATTTTACAACTTGAATGTAAAGAAAATTACATTGCTATAATTTTATTTATCTTTTTAACTAAAATTGAAAACAAATTTTGCGTTTCAAGAGAGAACAATCGTCATTCTTTTGGTATCTATGACACCAATCTCCAGAAATCTCCAGATTGCGTTCCAGCGCCTCCAGTAAAACCTCTGGTAGAGCCTCCAGTCAAGAATTTATTCTGGAGGCGCTGGAACAGGCCCCTTGTCAAACTCCGCACCTATAGATGGCCTTGTTACGCACGTTTCTGCTTGAGTACCAAAACAAATATGTTAGCAAGGCCTAGTGGTGGATACATACAGTGAGAAACAGCAGAGTACGAGTACTTTACCGATATTTGTAATAATTTGTATCAGTAAGGACTTTGAAGAATACACTCGCTTCGTTTCAAAGTAATGTTTTTACTGGATTTGAACAGTTTTCGAATGAGAGCAACTAAAAATAGTAGGTTATCAGTGCATTATCGATAATATCGATAGCTTCATTGAATAGAGAACCATGATTACGAAACTGGCGCTGCTTTTTCAGCTGGCGCGCTGTCAACAGTAACACAAAAAGCCATTAGATTTCCCATTGTGGTTTGTGTGGGGCGTGTCGCTGTTCCTTGGGCGTTCCTTTTTATATTTATTGGAGTTGCATCGCAATAAGGTAAGTGAGGTTGCTCGGGGCTCTGGAAAGTGGAATGGGACTTACATGCTTTTATAAAGGAATGGGGTCTGGGTGGATACCGTAAACCGGGGTGACAATGATACCCGGGGTGACTTTGATCATAGACCAATTTCGGGCCTCAAATGAGCATTTAGCTGCTGTGAACTGTATTTGCTATGCCAATGATTAAATAAAGCAATGAAGCATTATAGCAGACACTTTGGGTCCCAGTTAGAATAATCATGTTGATGTCACGGCTTGTTTTTTTGTTGTCATTGGCATGAAGTATAAATTTGCTAGCATCTCCAGCAATAATAATGGTAAAGATGAGAAAGACCCAGATAAAGAAAGATAAAGGAAAGGCTTCGATACTGATGATGGAGGATGAGCATTGAGCTGCTCTACTCAGTGGTAATTGGAGCGTCAATGGGAAGTGAAAAAGACAATCGACTGGGAGGGGCATGAGCAGTGTGGCAAGCAGTCCCACAGCCACCAGCAGACAAAGTGTGATGTAGAACAGGTAGCCTGTGGCTTAGGACATCTGTGACTGCTACTTAATCTTGAAGTCAGAGGTTAAAGTAGCCAATTTTGCTACTTATAGCTCTGTAATGTGAGTTTAGACCCAGAGCATGCAGCTTTATTTTAATACCTCAATGATTCATAGTTTTGCTGTAAAATGTTTCAGTTGTCAAGCAAAGCCTTTGCTTTTATTTAAAACATGTAAGTTTATCACACAAACCCCTTCTGAGGGCTCCTCCTATGGCACATATAACGTGATTTTAATGTAGTGATCATAGTCACCCCGACCTCTGGGTGAGAATGATAATTTTTTTTGTTAAAAAATAAAATATTTATGATAAATTTCAAGACATTTATTGCACTCAGTTAGATAGAGAATTGTCCAATTGGTATGATGAAACAGTTTCCAGAGCGAAATCTCAAGTGATATAGGAGATATTGTACCATACTGGTCAAAAGTGATACAAAGTCACCCCGGTTTACGGTACTGGACCATTGTATTAGGCTGTTTGATCAGTGATTCGTCGTCACTGGTATCACCGTAGCCGTAGGTATCTTTCTTTTCATTGCAATACGGCCTGTCCCTACTTGTGCTGCTACTGATGTTATGGTTTTCTTAGCTTGAAGTTAATCTAACTAGAAAATGTTGATACCTAGCGATCTTATCCGCATGCCTACTCGACGATTCGTGCTACTCAGTACGCTGCCTTACCAATTAATTGGTAATACCAAAATGTTCACATCTATATTGGGTAAGATGACATAATGATGGGAAATTATGAGTATAAGGGTGCAGGCGCGTAACCACCACTGGGGACACTGGGGACCGGTCCCCAGTAACTTTTGGGTTACTGGGGACCGTCCCCAGTAAAACCGACGACCTCAATTTGCTTGAATAGCCAAATATTGTCTCTAAATCGACGTGAAGAGCAATATGTCAACGGAAAACAAAACTGGATGTTTTGTTTAGCCAGCGCGCGTGTGGGCCTCTCAACCAACTTAGCCATGGTGGGGGGGGGGGCTTTTTGGCCACACCAGATTACCTAAGCAAGCTAGAAAGACGCGGTAAGAAGCAGCAGATAGCTCGCTACAGTATCTTTCAGAATTACCTATGTCATTTTTGATCAAGTCATCGCTCAGGTCACTGGAGGTCACCAAAGGTAAAATTTTCACAAACTTTTATTCCCAATTTCGACAACTTTTCACAAATCGGCGCATACGTCAGGAACCAATAGAGCTGCAGTGCTGCGGGAAAGCGCATTCGATAGCTTTTTCAAAGACCTTTCTGAGCAATGTTCTCAGTTTTGACCTAAGGTCAACGGTTTAGCTTCCAGGTTGGCGTTTTGCGGGAAAGGTTTTTGTATCATAACTTTTGACTCAAAAATAGCATGGCGCTGATTTTACCGGCATCGCGTTGGTCTCGTCGAGACGCATGGAAGAAAAAGGTCATGTTGCATGTCATGCGATTGGCATTGTTGAGTTGAACACATCCATGGTGTTTGCGCTCTAACATGTTTCTACCTAAAGTAATGGTAAAAAAAACTGTTGGAGATGTTTCATGACCTGAGATGATCTCAGAGGCATAGAAGGCATAGGCACAGGTGCAATTTTCCGGTTCAGTGTGTCATGTTTACCTGTGTCTGTGCGCGCCGCGGTTGTGCTTACACGCGCAACAAAAAAAAATGGCAGGTGTGTCCAAAAACGCCCCCCACTATCTCACCCCACGGCCCACACACTCGGACGAAGGCTGATCCTGAAATATTATATTTGGTCTTCGCGGCCTTCCATGTGGTCCCCAGTAACTTCAGACTCATGGTTACGCGCCTGTAAGGGTGGAGACCGGACAGTGAAAACAAGGTGCTGGAGGGCATGAAATATGGCACACTGCCATATTTAGTCATGTGTGTTCTGGGCTGTATCAATTTTGTGGGATGGCTAAATGATATGGTGATTGTATGTGATATTGGTTTGAGGACTTGTATCTTTCAAATTGACAGCCTTTGTGTGACAGAAGGTGAGATGGCAGCCAGCAGTGGGGCGACCGGCGAGTAATGCATTCGCTTTGTGGTGAATGTGACATGCAAACACTCAGGCCAAAACCAAAAACTTGGAAACCTTAAGGATTTCACACTAGTGCAGCTTAGTATGCACTTATGCGGCCTAGCATTCTCTCAATTCCTAACAGCCTGCCTCACCAAATGTCTGTTTTCCGCCAACAGAAGCAGCCATGTCGTCGCGCCGTGCCGCCACCCGCCGCGGGGTCACCAAGAAGCGCGCCCAGCGCGCCACCTCCAATGTGTTCGCCATGTTCGGTCAGGCACAGATCCAGGAGTTCAAAGAGGCCTTCAACATGATCGACCAGAACCGTGACGGATTCATCGACAAGGAGGACCTGCACGACATGCTGGCCTCGCTTGGTTAGTTGGCTCGGTCAGGGAGGCGGCATTGGTTAAATGTGCTATTTTAGGCGACATCGTTAGCTGGAGCACCGCTGACGAGCTCACGATTGAAGTTGTGTCGATCATACGGAGGCTCATCGACTGTCAAAAATGCATGGATTGTGAACTCGCAAAGTCGATAGTTGTAAGGTTTTTATCGGTGATGCATCCGTGGAGCAAATACATACTTCAGTGCCGTTACTCACGTAAACAATGTCACGCCCGATCTCTATTGTCACGTTTCTCTTCTTCCTCTGCAGGCAAGGACCCGACCGACGAGTACCTGGAGGGTATGATGGGCGAGGCGCCGGGTCCCATTAACTTCACTATGTTCCTGACGCTGTTCGGCGAGCGTCTGCAGGGCACCGACCCCGAGGAGGTCATCAAGAACGCCTTCGGCTGCTTCGACGAGGAGAACACGGGCCTCATCTCCGAGGACCGGCTGCGCGAGCTGCTCACCACCATGGGAGACCGATTCACAGACGACGAGGTGAGATCGGTGGTCTCGCACGCAAACGTAGTTTAGAGTGTTGGGTAATTATTTTTTTGTGTTTTTTTTTTGCACCAGCCAGTTCCATTTTTATCCTGTGAATGTTGTATTAGCTTCTTTTATGTTGATCGCGAGCAAAATAAAGCAAGGTGTGATGCTACTTTTGTTTGCCGTCATGTATTGATCGAAATCGCATGTTTCATACATTTTTCGATTGCTCGTACTTCGTAAACATTTTTTTCAGCCTTTTGTGTGCATTTCCGCTTGTGTCCTTCACTCATCAATCGTCAATTTTTATTGTAACACGCGGGTGATAAAGAATATTTGGTGACATTTGACAGCAGACGCTATGGCCGGCATCCAGTTTTAGTTATTTATAGTCACCGTGGTTTTGGCGACGGGAAGGGAAGCATTTTCCGGCGTCGCAGTACTCCAAGCGGCACATTCGCTTCCCTTCACCTGACCTTCATTTGTCGGCATTACCGCTTACCACGCTGCCAGGCCCGGCGCTGCGTCTTCCCGTGACCCGTGACCCCGTGACTCGCTGACCTGTTGCTCTGTTTTTCTCTCAGGTTGAAGATATGTACAAGGAGGCGCCGATCAAAAACGGCATGTTCGACTACTTGGAGTTCACCCGGATCCTGAAGCACGGAGCCAAGGACAAGGATGAGCAGTGAACATTCCTGAAAACATTCCGTGGCGCGTCACCAACTATATGTTGAGCTCCGTGAACTGAGAACGTTCCACACATCGCAGCTATGCCGCATGTTAGGTTCAACATTAGGTGACAATATATTGAGATTTGTATTTTTGGCGCTTTATTTAGGCCTAAGCTGCGAGTGTCAGAGGCTGATTGTAGGTATAGCAGATTGCCATTCCAATTATTTGATGTTGCATTCCCGCTACGGCAGTATATAAACTGGAAGAGTTACGCGCATATGTCTGTGTCCGCATCGTCTAACAATTGTGAATATAGATGCTTAGATCACATGGTATCTATTTAATACAAGTTTTCTTATATGTCGTCTTTATATCAGACAGCTGCTGGGCTACACGACGGGGAACACTAAGAGAACAGCTATGCCCGATTTGGTTTGGACCTGTTCCCGAAGCGCTACGTCCGCTCGAAGTGAACTAGTCACGAATCTCCCTACGAAAGTCGCTGACGCACGGGAATGCGAACAGTGCCGCCCCGGCAGCACATCCGGGCTGGGGCAGGATGCGGGCGCCGGGCCCCGTGCCTGACCTTATACGACACCGCTCCCCTGAGGTCGCGTCGCCCAAACTCTCATCTCCATATAAGGCGATGGGATCGAGCCCGAGGTTCGACGGCGTACAGTCGTGCACTCAGCACTGTACAGTCTCGAAAACAATATCGGTATCTTGCGGGAACGTAGTGGTGCTGGTCACAGTAAACATCGATAGGCAGCTTACCTTCGGAAGGACGAACGTCAACGAATTACGAAGTAAGTAAGTAGTTTTTGCTTGAAAACAGCGGGAGTGATTTCGTGTAGCCGTATCTACCAATTATAATTACTTTAAACCATTCAATTCGATTTACAAAATTACGGAGTACTTAAGGAGAACAATTCACTTTCCAGTACTTGTTTGTCCATCTCTTCGTAATTAGTAGACGATCATGACGCGTTTGACTCGATATTGGTGTGCTGTGTTTTTGAATGTTTACAAACAGCAAACAGGTGCATAGCGTTGCATCGAATGAATAAAAAAACTGAGCAATTTTTTGAATTGTGTCACAAACACAGGAATGACTGAATGAAGAGGACCCATAATCGAGGAACCCCACTGACCTGGTCAATTGGACAAACCAATCCCTATTACCTTCACATCAATTCATAGCCTACGATTCAACGATACGATAGCCTGTGCCTGTCCACCGTCAAGGCTGAGGGTCGGTCACTACTCTCCAGAGACAGAGGGCAGCTGACAGCTCCCATAAAACAGTCCAGATTATTTGTGAAATCCAAGGCCGTGAAATCGGAAAATGCATCTCTCAATTTGTTCTCAATCTTCTTGTACTGGCACTACATCTTCTGATATGGACGATAGATCAGATGCCACTACTGCTGCCAAACGCCATGGATTAGAGAACTATCCATGCAAATGCCAACCTTTGCGCCATGGTTTTCTGGCGGCTGATTCCGTACTAATGCTTACAAACCTGCCGAGTGCCGATAGGTGGCCTCTGAAGGTCCTCTTTCTCTTGTCCTCGTCATTCTCACGACCGCGATCTGATGCTTCCGGCACTGGCATCCGTAGCGGGATGGGGGATACCTATATCCACTGGCGGATCCAGAAAGGCGGTCTTGGACGCTGCGGGGGCATACCCCCAAAAATCTCATTTATAAAAACTCGTCGGATTTCGATTCGTTATGCACTCCTATGCAGTTTAGGTAACTTTTAAGACAAACTTCTTTTTAAAAGTTGCTTTGCAGGGACGTAGCTTGGGGGGGGGGGTGCACGGGGCCGCCCCCCCCCCCAAAGGCAAAAAATAAAATAAAATTTAATAAAAAGAAAGATAAAAACAACAGCTGCATCACACCCCAAAAAAATAGTGGGCCAAATCCGATTAGTTCTCCTTTTTGGAAGGGGTACGACATGCGAGGCCGCGACCTGTGGCCCCTCCCTGAGCAAAATCCTGGCTACGTTCCTGCTGCTTTGTTTACTTTTTTCGAAAAACCGCGTAGGATATGCGTCGATTTCAGGCGGCGGGGGGGGGGCGGCATTTGCCCTAAGTGCCTCCCCTCCCTGGATCTGTCGGTGGATAGGTACATGCCAAGACACAATTTTTATACTACTGTTATTGCATTGCTTTGTAAGAAATTATCATACCGGGTGTCATATCGGGTGTACATTACCTAGGCGTTATCCGACCAGCCATAACGGCGTGATGCCCAGGCGCGGATCCAGGGGGGGGACGGGGGCGGCCGCCCCCCCCCCCCCCGCCATCCGAAAAAGGCGCCCATATCCCGCGGCAGAGAGGGCGCCCCGAGCAGAAGAGCGGCGACACAGCAAAGGCTCAGCAGAAATAGGGCGCCTCCAGCAGAAGTTGGGCTTACCAAGCAGGAGAGTGACGCCCAATTGCCTATTCACAGCAGATGAGAGTCGCCCCAGCAGCAGATGGGCGCCCCCAGCAGAAGAGGGCGTCTCGTTACAAGAATATAAAATACCTTCTGTTCAAGAGGGGCGCCCCTGGCAGCGGAAGGGCACCCTTAGCAGGAGACGTGTCCCCCTGAAGAGGAGCGACGCCCCAGCAAAAGGAGAGAGGCGCCCCCATTCCGAGAAGAGGGGCGCCCTGACAGCAGCTGGGCGCCCCAGCAAAAAGGAGCCCCATAATAAGAAAATGGGTGCCACTGGCAGAAGAGGGGCGCCCCAGCAGAAGAGAGGGGTCTCCAGCAGGAGACGGGCGCCCCAAGCAGAAGAGGGGCGCCCCAGCAGAAGAGAGGCGCCACAGCAAAAGTTAATCAGAAATGTGGAGCCTCCAGCAGAGTTTGGGCCCGCTAAACAGGATATGGGTGCCCCATTGACAATATCCGGCAGAAGACAGACGCCCCAGCAGCAGATGGGCACCCCCGGTAGAAGAGGGGCGCCCCATTACAAAAAAGAAAAGGAGTATATTCTACCAAGAGGGGCGCCCCTGACGACAGCGGAAGGGCAACCTCAGCAGAGGGGCGGTGCCCCAGTAAAAGGAGAGGCGTGCCCCGTTCCGAGCAGCAGAGGGTCGCCTCGCCCCAGAAAAAAAAAACAGGAGCCCCATAAGAAGAAAAGGGGTGCCTCTGGCAGAAGAGAGACGTTCCCCGCAGTGGAAGGGCGTCCCCACAAGCAGGGCTGCGGAGTCGGAGTCGGAGTCGGAGTCGGAGTCGGTCGGAGTCGACAGTTGTGACCGAAGTCGGAGTCGGAGTCGGAGTCGATTTTAGAAACCCGAGCCGGAGTCGGAGTCGGAATCACCAAAAATCTGTCGACTCCGCAGCCCCTGCTAGGTCTGCGGAGTCGGAGTCGGGAGTTGGAGTCGGTCGGAGTCGACAATTCTGCCCGGAGTCGGAGTCGGAGTCAGAGCTGGTTTTTAAAAGCCGGAGTCGGAGTCGGAGTCGCCGAAAATCCATCGACTCCGCAGCCCTGCCCACAAGAGTGGCGTCTCCAGCAAAAGAGAAGTGCCCCCTGCAAGAGAGGGGCACCCCAAAAGTTGGGCAGAAGTGGGGCGCCTCCAGCAGAATTTGGGGTCGCCCAACAGGAGAGGGCCGCCCTATTCACAGTAGAAAAAAGACTCCTCAGCAGCAAAGGGGCGCCCTAACAGAAAAGGTGCACTCGTAGTAGAAGTGGGACGCATCAGGAAGAAAAGGGGCACTTCTAGCAGAAGATGGGCGTCCCACATAAGTGGGCCGCCTACAGCAAATTGGTCGTTCTTAGAAGGAAGAAATGAGGCGACTTAAGCAAAGTGGGTCTCTCCATAATGGATTAGGCGATCCAAGCAGAGATTGGGCGCCCCCGGGAAGTGAGGCATACCAGCATAAGTGAGACGCTTCCAGAAAAAGGAGGGGGCATCACCGGGAGAAGAAGGACTGCACCAGTAAATGGAGGCCACCTTTTTGCTAATATCTTTTGCTAGGGTAGCGGTGCCCATCTACGACTTTTAACCCGTGCCGTGCTGGTGGTCTGAGTTTTCCGTGTCCTGCTGGGGAGGGGGGGGGGGGGGCACACTCCCTCGTCTAACTCGGCTCCTGGGCCGCGTAGTTACACGCGATAAGCGGCATTCGGAAGATCGCCAAAAAACAGGACGAAAACAAAACGGTCATTTTTTTAGGTCAGGTCGAATGTCAGGTCACCAGAGGTCATCAAAGGTAAAATGTTGCCTGTTTCAAAAAAATTTCCGTTTTCGAAGCAGCGGCACATAACTCGGAAACCAATAGAGCTATAGCGCCGCAGAAAAGCGCATTCGATAGCCCTTTTAAAGGTGTTTCTGCAAGCTGCGCTCAGATTTGACCTCAGGTCAACGGTTTAGCCTTCAGAGGGCAAAAGACTCTAAAAATAGCCTTTTTACGAACAATGTTTTCCTGCAATAACTTTTGACTCAAGGGAGTCTTGACATTATGTTTGCCAGCATTGCGTTTCTGTCGTCGAGACACGTCGAACAAACTAAAGGTTGACCTTATGAAAGGTAATTTTGAGAATTTGACCTCAGGTCAAGGTCATGACCTGACCGGGAAAGGTCATGCTGCATAGCAGTCGATGCGTATCGTCGAGCTGAACACAGCTGAGGTGTTTTTATCTCTCTAGCTTGAATCTATCAAAAGTTATTTTTAAAAAAACTGCTGCGGACATTTCATGACATGGGATGACCTCTGGGATATAATGAGTGGTCACACTAGGTGCAATGTTCTTATTCAGTGTGTTAATTTTATATGTAGGTATCCCAATGCTTGATATTGTCTAGAATGGCGCTCGTCCAAAAGAGATGCCTTTCAGTTTTCTCTCAAAGACTTAATTATACCTACCTACCTAATGGAGACGTCACACAACTGACCTGACCTGATATCGAAATTCCGAGATATACGTTTCATGAATAGTGTTGCTTTCATCAATCGCTAAAAGGTTCAAAGCAATCATTCATTCGGTATAGCAATGGTAAGCATTTGAACTTTTTCTTAGGCTAGGTCACTTGGCATAACCTGGCATGGGCGCCGCCACCGGGGGGGACGGGGGGGACGCGTCCCCCCCCCCCCACTCTCAGAATGGAAGGGGGACGTCCCCCCCCCCAAACTCATTACGGAGCGAGCGAAGCGAGCGTAGTCTTTCGTAGGTGAACGGAAATTTCTGAGTATGCCGATGGTCACGCTTTTGCTAGGCGTGACCGGTCAAGTGGTCTCAGCAACCACTTGACCGATTTACATGCGGTAATTTTTGTAGGGTAGCACTAGATTCATTCCTTCTAACGAGCATCGGACTATTCCCGATGCATATGAGTGACCCCATATGCACGTGCCACGTGAAAAACGAAGAGG